AGATAGAAGTGCCATGAGGAGGGTGCCCGAGAGTACATATCTGAGATAGAAGTGCCATGAGGAGGGTGCCCGAGAGTACATGTCCTATATAGAAGTGTAATATGGAGGGTGCCCTAGGGAGAGTAGTATAGTGAGAAGCGTCACATGGAAGGTGCCCGATAGTATATGTCCTAGATAGAAGTGCCATAAGGAGGGTGCAGGCAGCAATGGCTTCAAGAGCTGGTGACTTCATGAGGTCTAACCCCTATGATGGTTTGGAAAGTCTGAGATGGGAGCATATTGAGCTCATAGCGAAAGGATCTTCCGTTGAAGACCCTAAGCTCCTGATGCTAGTGACCCTCCTCTATCGAAAGTCACACAAGTAAGTCTTACCTACCGACTACGCCCTTTCTCGGAAGACTTGACACTGACCCTTTTGCTTTCGCACCTAGGAACGATCCAAAGAACGCCTTGAAGGTCGAGCTCGGGCAACTGAGCGAACAACACAATGTTGTGGATCCCACCAAGCTACTTGTGGCATATGCCCTTCGCATTGGTGCCGTGAATCAGAAGAGTTGGGACGATCTCATTGAAACCGTCCTTCAGCGTCCGAGCAAGCGGTTCATTTGGGACACTCCAGACAGACCTGTCTTCTTCGCACACACAAGATCAGAGTCTCTCGACTTTTCGAAGCCAGCCAGAGCAGATCAACAAGGTCGTTTTCTCCGCCGTGCTGCCTACATCAGTGGAATTATACAGCGGCCCTTGTCACACGATCTCCGTCGAGGAGCTGCTGCTGATATCTCTTTGCTCAAGCAATCGACTAATTCGGAAGCCGCTCGCAGAGCCCTCGGTCACCGCCATGCATCCTACAACAGAGGAACGACCGATGGCTACATCGGGCGAATGCATGGCGATAGTTGGGCAGCTCGTGTTAACGACTCAGCTAAGGCTACTTCAATTGATCCATTCGGAGTTCAATTAGCTCCTACAGCTTTTGTGAAAAGGAAGATTGCAACTGCAGATATCAACAAGTACTGCACAACTAATGGCTTAGATGTCAATGATCGCAATGCTCGCTATGAAGCTCGGCAAAAACTAGAGAAGACTCAGTACGACCAATGGGTTGCTCATCAGAGATCTGTCTTGAACAATCCAAGTCCTCTGTCGAATACGACTACGGTGCCCTCTTCAAGCAACACGCCACACGATCCAGAAATTCTCGAGGTGGAACTTGTTGATCGTGAGACCAGACGTGCCCCGCTGAAGGACATTACAAATCTTCCGAGATCTCTTCCGGCCGGGGAGGTTAAGGAGGCTGCTAGCGATCTGACTGAGGAAAATGGACAGTCAGCCGTAACTGAAATGGTGAACATCCTCAATCTCGACCATACAGGCGTCGTTGAGATGCCCACTGGTGTTGCCGTCGGTGATATGGCTCTCGGATATGTCTCCTTGCTGGCGAATCATAACCCACGGGAGCGGGCAGAGGTCTTGACGTCTCCTATCGGTAACTTCATACACTCCTTGTCTACGATCAATTTGGTCAGTAGCTCTGTACCTCTATTGTCTGATATTCCGACTGGGAACAGCAGGCTTCCGCCTTCGAAATTCCTTCACCCGTGCCGCAAGACTGGCTGTCCAAGGGCATTTGATACGGTGCGACTGCGCGACACAATTGAAAGTCTACGGCATGAGTATGGACAAGCGGCAGGGAGTATTATGGGTTCAGTGCTTCTAGTATCCGTTATGTGTTAAAAAGTTTGGTAGTATTAAGATCTAGTGAAAGTAGCAATGTAAAATACACGTAGCGAGTAGCAGCTGCAACTAACGCTAAGTCGCCTACAGAGCTCTACAACTCTCCCCAGGGCACTCTCTCCAGCGCACTCTCTCTAGGGCACTCTCTTAGCACTCTAAGATCACTCGGAAAAACTCGAGGAGGATATTCCGAGTACTGAGTCACGGGATCGCAACTCGCGCATATCCAATAATTTTACCAAGAGAATGACGCTAAGATTTGTTTTCAGCTAATCATTTTTCTAGGCCAATCATATCACGTAAAAGTTTTTCCGGATGCTAGATTTTCCTACAATAGGAGACTAAACCCAATGTAGAACCTACGTCGCTTCGCTCCGTAGGATAATCCTTGGCACCACCCTCGAAACGGAAGTCACGTGTAAGGCTTACATTTTCAGGGATGCTTCACCCTTGCTGGGACAACTCAGTTACAAAACAACTATCTGAGCTCAAAATATCATTTTTCCTGGCTTCAGCGAGCCTGACAAGCCTCTATTCACAGGCCTAGCGGTCCACTTCTCCGAAGACTAAATCCATCGTGCCGATGATTGCAACTGCGTCAGCCAACAGATGGCCTCGACTGATCTGATCGAAACATCCCAGATGTGCAAACCCTGGAGCTCGAACCTTACATCGGTAAGGTCGCTCACTGCCGTCGCTGACAAGGTAGACTCCCATTTCTCCTTTAGGAGCTTCGATGGCGCTGTATGTGTCACCAGGAGGGACTGTGTAGCCTTTGGTGAAGAGCAAGAAGTGGTGAATCAAAGCCTCCATGTTCTCTTTCATTGCTGCTCGTGGGGGAGGGGCAATCTTGTAGTCCTCAACCTTGACTGGACCAGCGGGCATTTGATTCAGACACTGGAAGATGATGCGCAAAGATTGTCGGAATTCTTCCATGCGGCACAAATATCGGTCATAGCAGTCACCATATTGGCCCACCGGCACATCAAACTCGACCTTATCATAAGCGTCATAAGGTTGGCTCTTGCGAATGTCCCAAGGGACACCAGAGCCTCGAAGCATGACGCCGGAGAAAGAGTAGTTCAGAGCTTCGGCAGCAGTGACGACGCCGATACCCTTGGTCCGTCCGATCCAGATTCGATTGTCGGTCAACAACTCCTCGGTCTCATCGATGCGATCTCCAAATTGGGTGGCCCATGCATATATGTCATCCAACAGGCCCAGGGGTAGATCGGCTTTGACACCACCAGGTCGCACATAGGCTGCGTGGAGTCGAGCACCAGACACTCTCTCATAGAATTCCTGTTACACAATTAGTGGCTGTAAATCGAGGGGAAAGGAAGGGTTCTACCATCAGCTTCTCTCGTTCTTCGAAACCCCACAAGAAAGGTGTCAATGCACCAACATCCATGGCGTGTGACAGAATCGACATAAGGTGGTTTAGAATTCGGGTAATCTCTGCAAACAATGTCCGGATATATTTTGCTCGCTCCGGAATTTCAATATTGAGGAGCTTCTCGACGGCCAAAGAGAAACACTGCTCATTGGTCATCATCGAGACGTAGTCGAAACGGTCAAAGTATGGAAGAGCTTGTAGGTATGTCTTGTATTCGATGAGCTTTTCCGTGCCGCGATGGAGCAGTCCAACGTGGGGATCTGATCGAACGATCTCTTCACCATTGAGCTCGAGAATCAAACGCAACACTCCGTGAGCAGCAGGGTGCTGGGGTCCGAAGTTGACAGTGTAGTGGCGGACGCTCCTCGACTCGTAATCATCTCCGAGGTTTGTGTCTGGAGCTTTATTGATCAAATTGGAGTTTTGTTGGACGAACTGAGAACCGAAGGTAGGGTCGGTGGGAGTGAGGGTGGTGGTGGCCATTCCTTCTGGGCCGGTAGGAGTCGCGTTCAGCTTCGACGTATTGCATAGGGTGCGAGAGATGAGCGGCGACTGTCTTTGTGCAGCTTGAATCGAAGGTCGAAGACACAGTCGCTTGGCCGAGTGCCACCCTGCGGCCCTGGCAAATGAAGCGGCCATTGTCGCGGATAGGGAGCCCAAGGGCCAGATGAGGAGCTGGAGGACGCAACCGTCGATGACAATGCTATGTCGACGATGACGTGTGGGCAACTCAAGTCCGACGGCGAGTGATTGCAATTCAACCTGAAGGGAGGCTCTGAGATAGCAAAGGGTGAAGTCAATGACGGTCACAGCTTTAGAGGCGTTTTGATTGGCTGGGATTTTGTGCATCCGCCCCACATTCGATTTTCTGCACTCTTGCCGCATTTGGGGAAATCCGACTCTCGTCTTGACTTTTTTCTCGATCTTGTGCCATTGTCTGGTTTTCCTGACAACAGCACCATGGCGCCGATACAACCTTCTAAGGATAGCCTCGACCGGCGGAAGGTAAGCAGTGCCTCAAACTTTGCATAGCAGCACCATTAACTGTCTGATAGGTCGTTGGCATTAATGCTGAAACCGTAACCAACATCACCTCCACCGACTTCCCCGGCCATCATCCTGGTGAAGACAATTCTTGGTCTCTGTCCAAATTCAAGAAGAACCTCCAAGTCCAATTCCATCAAAACGACGAACATGACGCAGTTTTCTCCCTCATCGGTGTCGACGCATCGATAGCCAATGCGTTCCGTCGCATTCTCATCGCCGAAGTTCCTACCTTAGCCATCGAAAAGGTGTACGTGGAAAACAACACCTCAGTCATCGCAGACGAAGTCCTTGCGCATCGCCTCGGGCTCGTCCCTTTGAAGGGCGCCGTTGAAGGGCTCAAATGGCTCAAATGGTTCGTGGAGGCCGTTCCGGAAGCTGGGTTTGAAGGAATGGAACGAACAGATTACAATACAGTGGTACTGCACCTTAAGGTCAAATGCACACGGAAGCCCAATGCCGACAGCAATGCTACGGAGCCAGAAGACAAATACATCAACAGCAGTGTCTACTCGCGGCATATCGAATGGCAGCCTCAAGGTATGCAGGCTGAATATTTTGGAGACATTCCAGTTCAGCCGGTTAGCCCCAATATTTTGATCGCAAAGTTACGGCCGGGTCAAGAGTTGGACATGATCATGCACGCCCATATGGGCATCGGTGCGGACCACGCCAAATTCAGTCCCGTGGCGACTGCGACGTATCGACTTCTTCCAACCATCACCATCACGAAACCAATTATCGGCGCTGATGCCATCAAATTCCAGAAATGCTTTCCTCCGGGCGTGATTGACCTCGAGCGTGTTACAGCTCAGGAGGCCAACTCGGGGGACCCGATTTTCCGAGGCAAACAAGGCGAGGAGAAGGCAGTGGTCAAAGATGCAATGCGGGATACCGTTTCGAGAGAAGCTCTCCGGCACAAAGAGTTTGACGGCAAGGTAGTGCTCGGTCGAGTACAAGACCATTTTATCTTCAGTGTCGAGAGTACTGGTCAATTCCCCAGCGACACGCTGTTCCTGGAGAGTGTCAGTGTGCTCAAGTACAAAGCCAAGAGACTCCTTCGAGCGCTTGACGAGCTGGAGAGATGAAACCACAGGAGAGTTGACGACGAGATGAAGACCTATGCATTGGGATGGGCGCTGCGCATTTACTGGCGCCATTCACCTTCGATACCGCGGGATCAAAAATTCACAAAATGTGTTATGTGTGGAAGTCGTTGATGTGTCCGACTGCGATTGGCATGTATACAGTATAATCGCTTGACTTTGCCCATGCCCAGGACCACGCCTGGTATCCTGTCCGGCGGACCGCGTTCGTTACTCGTATCTGCTTGCACTCATTGAGATCCGCATAAGTCTCATTTGAATACCATCCGGTACTTGAAACTGATCTGGAAGGCCGAGTCACTAACGCCAACCTCTTCCCCGTCCGTCACCAATTCGCGTAATTTTCTCTTCAGATTGGGTCTGGTCTGTTCCTCGAGACTCTTGGGGGCCTGGACATACAAGGTACGAGCTTCGGTGCGGATACTGGGCTTCTTCAACTGGGCGTCAGCCCTCTCGGCCAAACCGGTGAGGAAATTCTCGAGGGTGATGTCGGGATCGACGGTGACGTTCTGGGCGAGATTTCCGCAGACGGGACAGTCGTCCTTCTTCTCGGCGGCAAAGGTGTAGGTGTACAGGCCGCCTTCGTTGGAGTCGCCGGTGTACATGACGTAATTCTCGAGGAAGGGAGCGCACGAGGTTGCGATCTTGAGGGCTTCATTGCAACATGCCGCGGCAATGATGGCGTTGGTGGATGCAATGGCGGGAATGATGTTTTTGACTACTCCCTGGGTCATGGAGTAGGTGACGCCCTGGATGTTGAATTCCTTAGCACGTGCTAAGGCTTGGTTGTAGAGCCAGGTGATGTGTTCGGGGTCGTCGGTATCTAGTGGTTCATCCTTACGTTGTTCATCCCAGGCCATGATGTGAGCCCATTCGATGCAATGTTGTGGCTGTCGGGGGATGGTGGCGAGGGTACATAATGGGACGGCGGCTCGAGGGGCGTGCATTGATAGTTGACACTCAATACAGGATGTGAGAGAGGGCAGAATGACACGGGCTTGGCCTTTGAAGCCTTCTGTGCCTCCGTCGATCAGGGGTTTAAGTGACTCTGGATTATCCATATCGACCATGTCAACCAGGGTGGCGTTGATCCAACGTCGAGCCTCGATACTGTCCAAACCACAAATAACCAGCTTGAATTGCATGTAATATTCTTCATCCTTGTCCTGGATTTTGCCATTGTAGGGAGTGATTTTGACGCCAGGAACTCGATTTTCGACGAACGCCGCGGCGACCTCGGCCTTGGATTTGCCGACATCAGATTGGCGGAACAAGAACTGTCGATTTAGGTTCGAGACGTCAATGGTGTCCATGTCGATGACATGAATGTCCTTGAACCCCGAAAGGGCTAGGTTCTTCAGGATCTCACATCCCAAGCCACCGGCTCCAATGACGAGAACACGTGATGATTCGAGGGCATCGATGGTCTCTTCCCCAGGTACAAATTCTTCTCCGGCGAATGGCGAAGTCGTGGATAAGATTTTGTCTAGATACGTCCTGAATGGATCGGGTGAGACAAAGCGATAAGCGGTCTTTGGTTAGGGATAGGGGCTTACCATCGATCACGAGGCTGCGTTGCCGAGCCATTGGTAAGTAGAGATGATATTGGAATTGCCATTTCCAAGAGGTGTTATCGAAGTAGATCAAGTCTTGGGTACTGGCTGGGAGGAGTGAGGGTGTTTATTGATTCTGAGGTGTTGTTTCTAGTCATGCGAGGCGGCAGAGAATGTTGTTGTGGCGATTGCCATTGAGAGGATGTCAAGCAGAGGTGGAGGGAATCAGACGGGTGTCGAAGAATTGAGAGTAAACTGATGGAAGGTAGATACCAACGTTAGGTAAGCACGTACATGCCTAAAAGTGGAAGGTACCTTGTCACCTTGTATGGTGGAGAGGCTTATGCCGAGGGGGCATTATGAGGTGCCTAGAGAACTGCCTGTGCGTTGCAGGCACTGTTCCCTCCCCTGAAGCAATCAATAATGTAGACTGGACCTTCCTCACGTCTCTCTCCCCACTAAAAAGTTCTTAGCGCAGGCAATATTTCTTGGCCATGTGACTGACGAGGCTCTGGTTTCCATCAATTTCACAACCATCAACCCGCCTTTCATAAACATTCATGGATCTACAGTAACTCATACCACGTTCTCCATCATGGGACTGGAGTCATGGACAATCTCTTCACCCCGGTCATGTCGACCCGTAAAGTACAGACCAACATTGAGAAATTCGAGACTCTATCCTTGAAGGACAACTCACATGCCTCTCGGCCCCCAAGCACCAACGACAAGATCTCTATCATCGATCTCTCCTCGGAGGCCAGCGACACTCGTACCGACTCATTTAGCCTCCGTCCATCTACTGCCTCATCGAAAACCTCTGTTTCAGCACAGCCTTCTCACAAACGCCAAGATTCAACCGCTTTTCTGCACCAGTCCTATCTCTCTGACCATGCATCTTCTGCCTCGCTTCCAGATGATGCCCGCGCTGTACTGAAGAGTCAACCCGATCGTCAAGACTTGTTCGCGGTACTGCAGTATCTTCAGTATGGTATTGAAGGAAAACATGACTTCAATGTCCGTGTGCCCGGGCCCCAAGCCTCTCAGATCATCAATGTGCTTGTCACTGTCACCATACCAGATCAATGGCTCCAATTGAGACAAAGATCATTGACAAAGGATGAGCTGCAAATCAAGAAGACCATCCTTTCAGCATTGGGAAGTGTCGCAGGGATAGGTGCACTGCTCATGCAAATCCGACGTCTTTCGTCAAACTTCCGCGATGCTCAAAGTCCCCTGCTCCAAGACCTCGTCGCCATCTTAGCCCAGGACCTCTCAGGTCACCAAGTCTTGGCACAGTACTTGTCAGATGCCAATCACTTCTTCAAATCAGATGCTCCTCGTCGGGTCTTCTGGCAAGAAGTCGTCGCCCTCCTCGCAGGCAGTAAAGTCCTGACAACCATGGCGCAAGTCTTCACCACCGTCCAGGACCTCAATCAAGATTACATGTGGTTGGGAGATGGCTCCGAATACTCCAAGTGGTTGTCTCTCAACATCTCTGCTGCAGCAATAGAGCACTCGTCAGGGACTGCAAACAGCCTTGAATCGTCCAAGATGCTTGGTCAGCTCCTCAAACGAGGGTTGAGCCTTGGGTACCGCGGTTAGATCCTTTCTTGCCCGATATATTCTTCGATCTGCTAATCAATCTCTAGATTCTCTGGTCTCCCAACTGTACAATTCCTTGATCCTTGGCAAGCGAGCCTTGTGGACGACCTTGCATTCTCTTCTGCAAACCATCCCGGCTTATGACCAGAAGGCAGTGTTCGATATTATCCTTCGAGATCTTGCTCGTCGTCATCTCCAGACCCAGAGCCATGCATCTGTCGAGTCACTTGATGACGATGCTCAGCGGAAGACAATCCAAGGAGTGGCAGCAATGGTTCGTGGACTTGTTGAGAGCAATTCGGTCATCCAAAATCATCTTCTGGATTGGCTTGCTGCATCAGATGGAGAAAGCATCGGTCTTAGTCTTGGACTGAGACGGGCTGTTATTGCTACTATAGCTCAAGACAAGGGTAATGTCCCTCCACACTCTGCTCTTGCTGTACTAATGTGCTCCAAAGACAAACTACACCTGATCCTTGACAAAACCTTGGAACAATTCGGCGACAAGCTTCGAATTCAGCATGATTCCATGCTTCAACAAGAGGGTAAGTGATTTTGGGCGATCCTAGCACCCCATCGCAGACCCTGTGCTTACGGCTGTGGTATTGCCATCATGTAGTCACTGCTCAGACGATCCTACTCGCAATCGGTTATCTCGATCGATTAAACTCTGAATCCGTCAAACGAATCTCAAGTTCGGGGACGTTCCTGCACATGGTTTCTCACCGCCTGTCCGCATCGCTACCTCGTGCTCGTTTCCTAGGCATGGTGATTGCTACCACTGTGTCCCAGTTGGTAGACAAGCCTGATAAAGTCATGAATTTTGGATTAGAAGAGATGGATGAAGAGGAAGCCAAGTCTTGGTCCAGACTGGTGAAAATCAATGATGTCGTGGGCAATCTAGACGACTTGCCAAATGCTTGTACCGTCACCACCTCAAAAAGAACCCTCCAACGAGCCTCCAACCCACCCCTGAAGAAGCGCCCAACACGAAAAACATTGCCGCAGACTTCAAAGATCATATCCATCGAGGAGATATCCGATTCTGAGGACAAACCTGTGGCTTCCGATGAAGAAGACCCTGATCTTCGCCCGTATGCTCGTCCTGACAGTGACCCTGAAGATTCCGATGAAGATCCAACTCTGATCAATCGCAACAAACCCCTTGCTCCCGTTTACATCACGACATTGATCCAACAACTGAATGTCACCGACGACCTGTCGACGATTGAAACTGCTCTTCGAACCGCACCATCTCTAATTCGACGCAAAGCTAACTTTGGTGACGAACTCAGATCCAACGTTGTGCGCCTGTCGACGTCGCTGCTCAATCTCCAAGAAGGCATGGGCGACAGGGAGCTCATGCAGTTAAGATTAGACTCGTTGATCGCATGTCTTGTCTCACAGCCATCAGTGATCGGCCCTTGGGTCAGCAACATGTACTTTGAAGGCGACTTTTCGCTTTCCCAACGAGCTGTGCTATTGACAACGATTGGACTCGGTGCCAGAGAACTCGCCGGATATGATGACAACATATCGGACTCCAACAAAGGAAGCAACACCTTATCTATGACAGCACAGCCAACTCCTCCAACAACCTTCCCAACGAAACGACTTCCCCCACACCTTGAATCACGATATATTGGCGAGACATCGTCTGCAATCTCCCAAATCTCATCCGACCTGTCACATCGAGTTCTACAACCAATGGCACTGGAAGCCGCAGACCAGCTAACAGGACCCAATATCCTCAAAATCCGAACATTCTCCTCACGGCTCCAAGTACAGAAGAAGACGGCAGCTGCAGCCGAGGCGCGGTCGAAACGAGTTCCACGAGACCTCCACAAACTACTCTCAGACAGCATCTACCTACCGTTCTGCTCACGACTAGCAGCCGTGCTATCAGCCGTGGCAACGACACCATACCTGGGACACTCGACAATTCTGCACCCGGAACTCGTCAAGCTCAGCCTTCAAACCCTGACCGTCACACTAACAACACTAGGTCCCAACGCGACGCAACTAGCAACATTAACACGCGAAACACTAATCGTCCTCACCTCCATCCACACACAGACATTTCTCGCCACCGACCCAGCCGTCCTACCAGCCATCCTCCACCTCCTACTCGCCGTACTACATCTCAACATCGACGCCGGAAACACCGCTGAAGAGCGTCTAGTCACTGACTTTGGACCTGCTTTGGCCGAATTGGTTTCGTGGGCCGCTGACCTCGGCACTCGTATGAATATTCCTGCGGAGGATTTCGCCAAGGGAGATGGCGATGGTGATACTGCAACATCCGGGTCCATGCCTTGGCCTGTTCTCGTGGCTGCTATTCAGGTCAAGTGGCATGAAGTCGGGAATCGGTTTCAGGGTCGTATGTTTGGTTTGATGGCGGGGACTGAGTTTTGAGGACTCTACCAGAGGGACGACAAAGCAATTGACAAAGCAGTCTATGTAGCGATTAGGTTAATCGAACCGGACTTTCAATGTCTGGCGATGCTGTTTGGAGAGTGAATGGAACGAGACGAGTGTTGCAGAGGTAGAGATGTCATGTCATCAGCGTCATCATCGTTGTATTGGATGTCGTCCAACAGCTTTCGTCTGGCATACTCTTCTCTCATCTACTCTACAATGCTTAAGCACATCCCTCATAGCATAGCATGCGTTGTTTCTGCGTGTCTTGACATCCCCAATCCTCTCAACATGACGCTCGTATAATCTTAGATGTCTAACTAGTCTTTCACTTGTGCGCTGTGGTCACGTATTAGCGCATGTCAAGCAGACAACTACAGTACCAATCTGATTTGGAGGATTGATATTGGGAATTTCGAGATCTCACTTACCAATTCCCTCTTCTGGCATTGGCTCAATTCCGACAACTTCTGCAGCAGTTTCTTTTTCCTTGCCAGCCTTTTCTTCCTTCATAAAGGGGAAGGCCAGGACTTCACGAATAGTGTAGTTGTCGGTGAGAAACATGGTGATACGGTCGATACCCATACCCCAACCGCCGGTTGGAGGGAGACCAAACTCGAGACTGGTGCAGAAGTTCTCGTCCACCATTTGTGCTTCGTCGTCGCCTTGGGCCTTTTGTCGGGCCTGCTCTTCGAACCGAAGTCGTTGGTCGAATGGGTCGTTCAACTCGGTGTAAGCGTTGACAATCTCCTTCTTGCATACAAAGGCCTCGAATCGTTCGCAGATACCTGCTTGCGACCGGTGATACTTGGCCAGCGGCGACATCATCTGTGGGTGACCGGTGATGAAGGTTGGGTTGATGCACTTCTCCTCGATGAATTCTCCAACCAACTTGTCCAGCATGCGGGCGTTAGTCTCGGGTGGGGGGCATGTTACATTGACTTTCTTGAGCACTCGCTTGAGGAAGTCATTGGTCTCTTGGGTATGGAGTTCTTCGCCAGGAGGGAACTTTTCGCCTGTGGCTTCCTCCAGGGCGGGGATCATTTCGATTCTCTTCCAGGGTGCGGCCCAGTCGACATCGTACACCTCGCCGGATTGGGTGTGGAACTGTGTCTTGGTGCCTCCCGTGACGTGCTTGACCAAGCCTGAGACAAGCTCCTCGGTGCGGTTCATGACATCGTAGACGTCAGCATAGGCTTCGTAGAACTCGCAGGTTGTGAATTCAGGGTTGTGGGTCAGGTCGGCGCCTTCATTACGGAACTGCTTGCCGAGTTCGTAGACTCGTTCGATGCCGCCGACAACAAGCATCTTGAGATAGAGTTCGGGGGCAATACGCATGAACATGTCGGTATTGTATTCGTTGATATGGGTGACGAATGGCTTAGCCGTGGCGCCTCCAGCGATTGAATTCATCATGGGAGTCTCGACCTCGACGAAACCGTTCGAGTCAAAGTAGTTGCGGATGTAGGAGATGATCTTGGAACGTGTGACTAGAATCTTGCGAGAGTTGTCGTTGATGAGTAGGTCGAGGTAGCGCTGGCGGAAGCGCGTTTCGACATCCTGCAGACCAAAGTGTTCGGAGGGAATTTGGTGCAGGCACGGGGTGAGGAGGATGACTTGATGGGCAAAGACAGAGAGTTCACCGTCATTGGGGCGGTTCTTTGGCGCAGTCCGGCCTGGGAAACCAACGATGCCGATTATATCTCCTCTGCGAAGGTGTTCGTGCTGTGCCTCAAATGGGACATCGCCCTGGGATTCTTGAGACTGACACATGATCTGGACCTTTGTGCCGCCGCCTCTGATGTCGTAGAAGACCAGTTTTGCGCCAGCGGATCGCTTGACATAGACTCGGCCAGCGACTCGGATCTCGACATCCTTCTTTTGTTCGCCTGGAGTTAGACCGGCGTAGTTCTTGACAAACTGTGAGAGGTCGGTGTTGACTTGGAACTTGTGAGGGTAAGGATTAGGTTGCTTGGTTTCTCGTAGTCGGTTGATACGTCCACTTCGAATCTCAAAATATTGCTATTGAGTCATGGGTCAGTGAATGGGTACATATTGGAGTGGTGTCAGGTATAGCATGCAAAAACATACATTGGGGTTCAGGTTGCTCTCATCAATCTCATCCCCTGTCTTTTTCTTCTCTGTCTTTGGTGGTGCTGTAGCAGCCCTTTCTTTCTTCTTTTCTTCCTGTTGTCGATGCTTCTGTCTTTTCTTCAGCTCGGACTTGGAGACTCTTTCGCCAGTGACTTCATCAAGGTGCAGGTTGGCAGTGTCCTGCGCGAGGGCCGCAGCGCCGTCTGACATGGTGAATGGAGGTAGCAAGAGGTGGTTAAGGGTATTTATTGAGGTTTGCCAGCATGTGCTGCAAGTGCGAGATTTGTATTTTGTAACGCAAGTGGGATGTGAGGTTTGGCTGAGTTTGAGTCATGGAATCTGCGGAGGATTGTTGAATGAGTCATGGGGTGAGGGGTTGGCACGTGATATGTTTGATATGAGATGTGTTTGAATCTGTCGAGACTGCCTGTGATCCAAGAGCATCTATGACTACTGTGTACGATGTACGGGATACAAGTTGTACTCAGACAAAGACTAGTGAAATGCCAAACGTTATAACTCATTGACAAGAATTGTTTAGCACCACCTCTCGAAGCCTCGACCTTGCCACGTCGTCTACAACAACTTGATGGCGGTCGAAACCGACAAACCAAGCAGAGGCAGTTGCATGAACCAAAACCAACCGCCCAGGTACCTTCCCTTGCCAGTCTTCTTGTCGTTGATATAGCCATAGGCGTACAAGACTCGAGCCACGACCCAACCAAGGCCCAAATATTTTGCGGCATTTGGGTACTCGAGGGCCGAAAAAAGAAGAAAGGCCATAGTTTGGCCCATGTTCTCGAGCAGGTTGGCGTGGGCTCTCTGGGCACAGTTGAATTTGTGAGCGGCTGGGTTCTCCTTTGCTTGCTGGTGAGTGGCATATGGATTGGGGTACGGAACTCCAGCGGCTTTGCGGAGGTTGGTGACGACCATGCCTTGCACAAAGGCGAGTGCTGGGACTAGGCCTAGGGCAATGACCGCAGCATAGCTTGAAGAGGTCAAGAATTAGTGGTGGATCGCCACGTGGAGGGAGAGATTAGGGGATTTTTTGAGAGGCTATAGCTTACCCGTAACCATCTGGAAGAGTGATTGTTTGTGGCATTTTCTTTGGCGAGGATGGCTAAGATTCGGTTCTCTTGTAGTGGTGATGGTAATTGCTCCTAGGCTGTGTGATTCTCTTGTCTTGCACGGCTGTTTTCTGATGTCAAGGGAAGACTTCGGGTGACGATGGAAGGGAGATAGGTGGCAGCAGAAGAATAAAAGAGCGTGGTGGTGAAGCCCGAGTGCGCCTCGGCAGGGAAATCACCAGTAGCACCTTCTAACCATTTCCAAGCGCGTCCCTTCCAAATCCCACATCATCGAGACGGGCAACGGAAGAAGATTGCGCCGACGCGGAACAACAATAACAGCGACAGGCAGCAGCAACAGCACAACTTCGACATAACTTCATCTCATTTCCTTTTTTTTTTTCGTCTTGTCCCACATCTCAAAAGCCAATGCACATTCGTCGCAAGAGAAGAGGCACGTACCCTATGGTAGCTTACCTTGAACGACAACCATCTGTCGTCAGAAGAGGAGGGGTCCTGTGGGGCATGACAGGCACCAGGTAAGAGCTGGTAGGCCACGGTTCATTACAACCACCGTTCAAACACAACCTGAATGATCGATAACAGTACACATTAATGAAGTCAGATACTTGAGTTTGTTCATTCTACGCATATGATATATAAATATATATACCCCCTGTCCCCAGTCTGACATTGCAGGATTGCGTGATGCTCCTTTGGACTGCGATTTGCCAATCATGATGGTCCCCGCCACCGTTTGTTTATTAATCCAGGCATCCATCCCATATGATTGGGTTGCCTCAACTAAACGTCCTGTCAGAATTTAGGTAGGGATCTTTTCACATACGGAGTAGACTGGACACATCACCACATTATTCGCTCTCAGAGGGCTGAAGATCAAGTCAAAACTATTTCTCTAGCCTTGCAGATCCCTGCAAACTTGATAGCGCTATACTAACCACTAATTCACTAACTCGTCTACTGTCCTTACGCATAAAAAGTCCTTTCCGTGCCGCGTCTCGTTGTTCTGGTTGTTTACATAATAACCTCGTTGGCCACATCACGCTTCAACTCCTTGTATGGCAGACAGATACAGTTCTGTACCCGGACCTCGTCGTTGACCGAGCACTCCTTGCCCAGAATAGTAATGCTCTGCACCTTGACCCCGTTCTTGATGATGCTGCTGCTGTGACTTGTGATTGGGGTCGGGCTGCCTTCCACTCGAGCCCAGGCTCCTACTCGACTGTTCCATCCTACAATTGCGTACAGCACGATGGCGTCGTGCTTGACCTCAGCCTCGTCAAGCACAATGGCCTCCTTGACACGGGCTCCGGCTCCGATCACGGCCTTGGGGCCAATGGAGACATTTGGTCCAAGCTTGGCGGTTGGATCGACGGTGGCGGTTGGGTGAATAAACACAGGAGGGATGATCTGAGCAGATGGTTTGGCAATCTCCTCAGCTTGGGATTGGAAAGCCTTTTGGAGATAGAGCGCGTTGGCTGGAACGGCAGAGCCAGCCGTCTTGATCTGTCGCCAGAAATCCTTGGTCTCGTGCACAAAGAAGCGGTTGGTGTCGGCAAGATCGGACAGGATGTCTTGCTCCAGACGCAGCACCTCGTTCTTCTCGCCATCTTCCTCATCCGCAATGAAAGACGATTCAATGTTCTCCGAAGAAGGGTAAGAGATCATGCGGGGTCGTTCCGTCTTGCGTTTGATGGCACTCTTGATTGAGGGGAAGATGGCCTCGGTGGCAAAGAGGTAGACACCACAGTTGATCAAGTTGGAGATGTGGCCCTCAGGCTTCTCCACGTAATGCAGAACTCGCTTGGTGTGCGTATCGGGGACAATGCAACCAAAGTTGGTGGCGGCATCATTGCTGACTCGCGTGCCCAGAATGACGGCCTCGGCGTCTTTCTCGTCGAAGAGTTTGAGCATGGCGTCAAGTGGGAAGGAGCAGCAGACGTCCGAGTTGAGGACAAAGAACCGGTCAGGCTTGCCTTTGAGAATGGCATCTCGGAAGTGATAGAGGCCGCCAGCAGTGCCCAAGGCTTGGTACTCTCGGAGATATTGGATTTTGATCTGGGGGAACTCTCTTGATGAGTCCTTGATAAAGTCTCGAAAGACGCTCTCGTCATAGTAGCCAATTAGAATGACTTCCTTGATGTCAGGAACTCTTGACACGGCCTTGAGGCAGTGCCAGATGATTGGATGGCCCGCCACATCGAACAGAGGCTGAAAGCCAGAGGTATTAGCAGGTTAGAGCGGCCAAGAAGTCGTTTCAATCTTACCTTGGGGACATCGAGACTCAATGGTCTGAAGCGAGTTCCTCGAGAAGGCCCTCCGACCTAGATGTATTCAGCATGATTCGTGCAGATGCTTGGACCAGTCAACCCTACCAGAATTACCGCTTTGGTCACGGCTGGGACGCCGGACTTGCCACGTTGGGGGACTTTCAACATTGTGGGATGGACGTTGCTACCTTGTCAAGAACACGGATTGACAAAGATTTGATGTACCGTGACAAGATCGTCGAAGAATCTCAAGAATTGGAAGGTATTTTTCAAGACAAAAGGGCTTTTCTCAATGTCAACAGTTGAGGCCACGGTTCGCGTATGAAAGTTGAAAGGGGAATTGGACTTTGTGGTTTCACCGCCAGGCCCCGTGATCGCCAAGCCTCGGCTAAGAACGGCCACTAACCCGATCTGGTTGACTATGTTCATCTGGACTTTACCCCTTTTCTCGCATCCAACAGGGAAGATTGATGTGATGGCCTATGATAAACTACACCAGTCCCCCACTATCGATCCTTTCCTTCGATGTGGCGAAAGACAGGGCTGGCTGGCCAGACCTTTCTAGTCGAATTCTGCGCCAGCCTTTCTAGCACGTGCGTCAACTCATCCACCTAGGCGGAGAATCGTCGGTCAGGCTTCAGCCTCCTTAAGTTACTCCTGAGTCCTATGTATGGTGTTGTCGGTGCCACCCATCTGACTTTCCGATGCACGCTATCCAATTGATGAGGTTTGTTCATGGATGAAACCCTACAGTCCACTATTGCTTTATTGACTCAGATTACTGTTTCTGTGGCAGCGTGATTCGACCAAGCCAATACTGTGAGGATGAGCCCCGACCAACGATTGTGCTAAACTCGCTCTTTGGCAATGTCTTCTGAAGCCAGTTTGAGCCACGCCACCCGTCAAGGCTGCCGTCTGATGGGACTTTGGAGGAAAATGATTGGGTAGTAGGTTATGGCTCGTAGTGAAGGACCTCGCTACTTGCTGATAACACCGGCAGGATTTCGTCTCATATAAGGTAGACATTGGTCAAGACCGAGAGAAAGACTAGTCTATTTCCTAACATGTAATCCTTTGATACATAGAATGAAATCATCTTCCTGACCTCATTCAAGTCATGACGAATTTCGTCGACATCACCATCATCCTTGAGAACTGTTTCAGCTGCTGCCACCTGTGCCACTGGTCATCCGACTGGATGTAACAATCTTGCTGGTGGAAAAGTCGTGACGACAGAAAACCCCCGAGGCTTGGAATCTTGCTGCCAGGAGGAGAATGGTCTCCATGGTGAGGAATCTCACGCTGCTCCGAACCTAACTCATGGAGCTTGCTCTCATGTTGCTAGACATAGGCCATATCTCATACCATCTTCCAAAGTTGAGGTGTCTCAGGTTTGCGATGTTGCGAGGGAGTCAACTACAGGAACAAACGTTCGCTGCACCAGTGGCATCTATCAACCCCGCCATGCTGGGATGTCCATTGGCTTTCACCTCTCCTGAGCCTATCGCCGTCCACTAGTGGACTCCTACTGCATCTGACACTTGGTTCTACTGCATTCTTTGCGTCTCTGCCAAATGCGACAACCTGGCAAGAAAGTATGGCGTGCTACGGGATCACGGGGATTTCAAGTGAGGCATCATTGCATCGCCACAATTTCTTACATGGATTGTTGCGGGTAGTCCGAGGCAATATGAGCAACATCAGAAACCCCTTCTACCATTGCACCTTTAAACGCTGAGTTATCCGCCCATGCTTGTTAGTTCTCCATGTTTGCCATCACAGCGCATCCTTTTTCAATGCACAATGACGACCGGCTCGAGCACAGACAACCAAAGGAACAGTCCTTTGTGATTGAGCATGAGGCCTCGAATGTTCAATTTGCCATTAAACCCATGTGCACATGTAGAGTTTCATCAGCCCCGCAGCGATAGCGTCCTTGTGATCGGCCTGCTGCCTGGGATTTTCGTTACCTATAAAAGCCCCATTGGCGGGCCAAGCCGTAATAGGGCGCTCATGGGGCCAAGTGGCCAAGTGGCTTGCATAAAGGAAATATAGACACCACCATCAGCCTAAGGGTACCTACACTCCTGGTACACTCCCATATTATTAAAGAACGTAGGTACCAGTGGCCACAAGCATAAGACTGATGCTCTCAAACACGAGCCCGGCTGTGCTAGGCAAACGCTTGCATCCGCAGAAGACCGCGAACAAAGCTGACCGGGTTCGCATGCCCAAAGCCTGCCTCTGAGGTTGCAGGCTACTTGCTCATCGCATCATGTGCACGAGGAGTCATCCTCGGGCATATAGGCCATGAATTCTCGCATATCGTCCAGTACCCTGCTAAATTCTACCCCCAACCCCAATTCTTCACCAAGATCGCTCGGATAATAGGTAACTTACACGGATCCAGGCCGTGTTAGCGGATTTTTCCAGTTTTTCCAGACTCTTTACAGTTTGAAGTGTGACCAGACACAGTTGGCGGATATGCTTAATCGAGTTCGTGATTTTTTGGTTCCAGTAGGTGCTTTGGTGCAGGATAACCATTCTTGATAGATTCTTCTCCGCTCGAGAAATGAGCCTCTGACATGGTCTGCTGCCGTAGCCTTCAATCCTGGGACTGAACCCAAGATCCCATTCAAGAGAGTCTTCTAAGAATGACATCGAGAAACAGGAATCTGGTATGGATCACGGAGGTAGAGACCCCCTTCTCAGTTCTCATCCCCCTTTTCATCCAGTCCCTCCCACTTCCCCTTTGACCCTCCTGTGACCAAGCCGTGCTATCACTGAAAACGTGCAGGGCCTCAGGAGCCAGACTTTCGAAACTGCCTCTACCAGGTACTAGTGGGAGACGCCCAGCCAGACCGGATTCTTGGAAAATGTTGGCTTTGGTACACGGGCTACTTGGATGCCCAAATAAAAGAATGTTTCCACTCCACTCTCGCGCCTACTATTGTCGGCCTGAACTCGCTCTGCACAGAAGATGGATCCAGATGGGTAGCTCAGGCTGCCATTGTGTACAGTATTCTCACAATTGTGGCCGAAGAAATCCGCCTACGGAGAGAAGCTTCCATAGACAGTATCATACTCGAGCTGGATTCGAAGCGACTGTTGAAACGTGCAGATGGCCACTTTCTCACCGACGACGAACAGAATGCTGCTCGACAAATGGTTTGGCACCTGGTTGGTATCCTCACGATGTTGTACGACCCAATGAGATCCACGAACTGCCGCGAGCTCAAAGTACATCAGCCATTGTCAAGTCTTCGTGGCCGAGGGAGGCACAGAAAACGCGTCCTATCAACTTTCAGCCAGAGCATCGCAAAGTCTGAAGAGCAGTTCCATTCATTGTTAGGACATTTTGGCGAACTCTTGCCCGAGGCTGAGGATATGTCGTCAAATGCTCCTCTAGCAGGATCCACGGACAATCATCTCAACATTGCCTATGTCAGTTTCCATGGCCTGAAAAACGTCGCCAAACTCAACATAGAATGGGTCAATGTCATGAACCTGCACCTTCAGCTCGACCAACGGAAGCGAATCCTACGCCTCTATCGCTTCCCAGCTTTTTGTCGGTTACTATGGCAAGACGATGATGAGTCATGTCTTTTACAAAGGTTCACCCTTGCTCATCCCAGCCCAATTCCATTCTCACCCCGTTCTTTCTAACACGGCTTCCTTTTTAGGTTGTTCCAAGACCATCGTACCTCTTTGGTTGCCTCAGTGCCCACAGATGCCGCCCGTCTTGGCATATCAGACTTTCTCCGCGAGATCATTCTATCTTATCGCTTGATATTTGGCATGGACAAGTCATCCCGCCGTGCGTTCGAAGGCGAACTCGAAGCTTGGGCACGCGATAAATCCCATTCGACCCCACTTTCCTCTCGGCGTCTCTACGAAATGGACCCTTTACTCAAACTGGTCTGCCAATCACCCTCGCCGAATCCCAATTCGCCGTCTGACCTTCTGTCGCTTTTAGAACTTCTCGACGGCGAGGAGACATCAACGCTCTACCCGTTCGAGGAGTTCCCTTTTCTCGGCAAGCGGCTCGCCGAGCTTCAGCGCTTCAGCATCGCCCACAAACCCAACGACTGGAAATCACTCGTGTGGATCGACCGGCGCGACGTCAAGAACTTCTGGAGCATCTGGATCGCATGGGCTGTGTTGATCGTCGGAGGTGCAACAATCATATTACAGGCCTTTCAGCTGGCCTTTCAGGTTTGGAGTTCGATCGTAGCTTTTCACGAACTCAACCTCGAACGCGGATGAAAGCTTCTCACGACATCATACTCGAACCTGTCGACCTGGTCAGCAGCCCCTTTGTGTTTTGCCCTTGCTCTTAATGTGTTCTACTGTCCAGTGGTGCGACTTGATTATAGGGTCTCAGTTCTACTGCCGCATGTATACTGGTTGTGCTTGGACGGACGAGTTCAAATATGCCGTGAGGCGAAGTGGAAAAGGAAGATCAAGATACGTTTTGTTAAAACGAAAATCATTATTCCAGCCTGTGGAAGGACCATGAGCTGTGCTCAGCCTTACCACATTGTGTATCCCGCAATACTGCTCATTCCTGGCATTGTTTCTCTTTCTTTTCTGCTTTTGTTATCTTCGGCTTTCTCGGCCGCTCCCTGTTCCCGTTGTTATCATCGTTATGGTCTTCATCTGAAGTAGCCCGGCACAAGCCTATCAAAAGTCTCAGTCTCGGACCACTCCGGATGTACGGTGATGTTCAAGTCCATGGCGATGTCGGTGACATCGAGTTTAAGACCGTCTCTCATCTTGATGCCTTCAAGTCGTTGCAAGGGATCTTCGATGAGAATCTCAGACCACCGCCACATTATCCGGGCCACGGTGCCATCGACATCACCGGAACTCCGAATAGTGGCAATATTGTATGCCTTCTCAAGGTATGATAGAGCTTTGTCGTGATATCGCCGACCCGGTGCTCGTTCCATCTCAACAACACCCAATTTGTACCACGTCGCAGCGGCCAGTGGGTGTACAGGCCACAGGATATGGCAGAGATCTCGGCACTTCTCGTACTGCGCCGTTGCCTGTGCGTAGTTTCGGCTTTCGAGCTCCAGGTTCCCCCGTGCGTAATGCAACGCTGCCATCAGGTGCTGCGACGCATTCGGCTTACGCATGAAGCAGGCTTCTGCTCTGTCGTAGAGTTTGATGGCAAAGTGCGTCTCTCCGCGTAGGAAGGCCACTCGACCTAGCGACATGATATTCAGGCCCAACATCGGAAGCTCGTCCTCGCCGTGTGACTCGCGAATGCGAGCCGCCTGTTCGTACAACTGTTGAGCGTCGTCTAGGTAGCCGAGAGCACATTCTATGTTGGCTATGTTGGCAATGCTGCTCGCGACCAGTGGGTGATTCGACTCTAGCCAGCGCTCACGGAGCACACGTGCTGTGTTGAAAGCTTCACGAGCTTTCTTTAGCTTGTTTTGGTCGTAGTAGGCCGCGCCTTGAGCGTTGAGCAGATGAGAATACAGAAGGGTGCCTTTATCGTCGCTCGCAGAGCATGCAATTGCCATCATTTCGAGACACTCGGTGTAGTCAGCCACTTCGTACAGATACCTATGTCGCGTTAGATAGGACACAGCATTGGGAGAACTACAGCCACTTACCATCCACAATTAGATAGAAGCCGGATAAAGTTGAGTTTGGGGGTGACATAGCCCTGGCTCCCTGTCTGATAGGTCGAAAAGGCCTTGGTGAGATGTACAACATGTTGCACGAACATCATGCATCTCGGCCACATTGTCTGCAGGGGACGGCCCATGATTTGCTTTGGAAAAGCTTCATGCAGGAGCTCCGTAGCTGCATCGAAGGACTCTTGGATCTCACCCAGGTCGATGTAATTCATAGCCTCTTGAATGACACGATGGATGACAAAATTTCGACCATCTTGACGAATCAACCCTGCGGCTTGGAGTTCTTTGACTGCAATCTCCATGCCTGGAGACATTTGCAAAGCCGTGACATAGGATTCGTCTTGTTTACAGAATGCCAGTTTTCCATCGAGGCGCGCTTGGTCTCCAGGAAGGAAGAGGTCAACAGGGATCGAATCAGGCGCAAGTAGAGAGAAGACGCTGAGCAAGCTCCTTGCATTCCTTGAGACCGTGTTGAGAGCGATGGACCATATAGTGTCGAGTGCGTGGATCTTTTCGTTTCTGTGACCGGAAAATCGGGGCGGTAGCTGTTTACTGGCCTTGTCAAAGATCTCTAGGAGTGTGACTATCGACTGGTCACCTGTCAACTCTTTGTCCAGAATGAGTTTGGATGCCTGAGCGATGGCAAGAGCAAGTCCTCCCAGGTGTTCGAGTAACTTGCGGGCAGCTTCGCGCTCAAGTCGGCCCTTAGCACCGCCCAGATGCCGATGCTGCCACTCAGGCCCAAGAAGTTCCATGAGTAGATCCCACCGTTCTTCGTCGGAGAAGACAGGGATGGTTTCACCTTCTCGACGCTCTGAGTGTTCAAAGTTGTAGTACGAACGCGAGGTCAATAAGACTGAGCCGACGGACTCTCTAGGCCAGTACGAATTCAGCGCTTGCTCTCGCTCAGCGTTATCATAGATCAGAAGCCAGGTTTTGTCTAAGGGCATGTTAGTATTGTGTATTAATGTCGAGCACGTAATACCTACTTGTCTTCTTGAACCATTCCAGAACCTTGAGCTGATTCTCTTCAAACCGGACCATCTGATCAGCCGAAGACAATTCGAGTCTGACTGCGATATCCGAAAAGCTTTGTCGCAAAGAAGCGCTGGTCTCGCAACGAATCTATGCAATGATGAGCAGATGATACAAAGCGTGGACATGGGTGCTAGTTACCCAGAAGACAGCATCGAACTTGGACTTGTAGCGACGAGCAAATTCAAGGGCGATTTGGGTCTTTCCAACCCCTCTCAAACCATAAATAAGGTATGTGCGAAGTTTTTCGTTTGTCTGATTTCCCAAGTGGTTATGGATATGCTCGATAGAAGATTCACGGCCGTAGAAGTGTTCGGTACGGATGTCTGGCAGATTGTCAAGAGGAAATGCCGCGCGGTCGTAGGGATTGGTCTGCTCGCGGAAAGGCACTCCCCAGTGAGAATGTCTGCTCACACTCAACTCTTGTGCAGCTTTGCTGTGTTGACTGATTTGACGAAAGTGATAGATGACGTCGTCGATTTGATCAATGTTTTGCGTAACAAACTCTTTCATGCTACCAATAGCATTCGCGAATGCGCCCTCTAGGATGCGTCAACAACGTATGCTGAGTCTTCATTATGAAGGTGTACTTGCCTGCAAGATACGTTCGCTGAAATTTGATCATGCCGGTGAGAAGGTTTAGCAAGGGGTCGAAGACATCGGTGACTTGCTGTCTTGCGCTATTCTCATCCGAGAAGTTTTCCACGCATTGGTTGAGCGCTTCCATGGACCGCTTCAAGGAGAGAAGCCATGGGGTCAGACGTTTCAGTTTCTCGGCTTGTTGCAAAGCGAGCTGAGATTACACTGTCAGTTATTGAAAAAGCGTTGTAATTGCCATGGTCTTACGTTTATGTTGATAAACATCAGACCCCAGATGATGGACATATCCACCTTTTCCGGGGCGACGAGCTTCTCGAAAGTGAAAATGAATCCGTACATGGGTCGAGCGATCAAGATCAAAGACTGGAGATAGCTCCTCTGCTGGGGATTCTTGCTGTCTTGGATGCATCGCCGAAGCCAGTTGCCAAACTCATCGTAGTTATCTACGTTTCTTGCTTTGTGCCAATCTGCGGCCGTGATCTCCTGGGCTTCTACAGCGGTGGACCATTTGGTTGCCGCAAAGCTTTGCGTGTTTCTAGTAACGTCAGTATGGGCGAACAAAAGGGAGCCAGGCTGTCCTCGACGCACCCAAAATCAATGTAATGTTCATCTTCCCGCACTTCCCGCGGTCTGGTGACAAGAGTCATGCTGCTCATGATAGACTCGAGGTTGAAAGTGGCACCTTCTGAGCAGAAACGAGGTTCGAACTCTGAGGCATGCGACAACTGCAACTTGAGACAAACCGAAAGGGCGAGAAATGTGTGCTTTAGTGGATTGCTTGTGGGGCAGTGCGCAAAATCCCCAGTTGCCCATGCAAGGAAGAGACGATTGCACGGTGTGCATGAAAATGGCTGAGGTCAAAACAACTTTTTCGATTGGAGGGTCACTATCCGTGGCCAGCCTAACTGTGACACTAACAATGGTTCAATCTGCCTTCTCGTGTGCTTTCTCGTATTCGTGGTGCCTTCGCTTTTCACAAAAGTTCTCAAGGAGGACCTACGCTGGGACTCAAAACGCAATCAATCTGTCTCTTAGACATATTGTTTCCTGATCTCCTAATAAGATTGTGGACTTGACCTCGACACTATACGCCCAAATCTCCTTCCACGGCGAGAGACGGTTGTCAGGTCCTACTGCAGGCACACCAATCTAACATCACATAGCCCTAAACTACTTCAGATTGGGCACGCTTTTGACACAGACCGACTTTATGCAGTGTCAGAATCACCAATAGTGTGGGTGCCCAAAGACACGGCAGTTAGTGGACAGATTCCAAGATACCAGGTAGTAGAAAACTCAGCCTCGCTCTCCTCATTGACCTCGACGCGTTCGGGCTGCCAAACGGTGGAAAAGACAGATGCTCTACGACTCGAAAGTGCCGTCACCAATGCTGTCCGTGCGGGAACAAGCCAAGTTTGTGATGCGTCTCAACAATTCCAAGGTTGACGCGGCATGTCGAGGCGGCATGCAGTCATATAATCACATGCTACTTCCGTCCTTCCCCGGAAGGCGCGAGTGATTCGATCCTTTCCCGCGTCTTTTGCTGGAAAAGGCTGCCTGCAGCGCGGGGTGGCTATGCTACGGCATGTGTAGACTTGCCACTCTTGCGCAAGGGTGGGCTGGGAAGCAACCAGAGGACGAGATATGGTCAGGCTGCACGATGCATGGAGCGACATGTAAGGATTATGCTGAGAGTGAACTAGCCCAATTGTTGATCAACAAAGCTTTCGGCACGGCCCAGTCCCTCTGACCGTCCCACTGTGGAGCGGATGACCGAGGGCCCCTCCGACCCCGCTTTTTGCGCGTGATGCGGCTGAGGACAGCATATGTGTAGGCAGTTGGAGGAGCCCAGGTAGCCCTACCCTCAAGCGAACAACTCTTCTAAGCCTCGATCGTGGACTGATCGTACCTCGAAAGCCTTGCTTGGGCATAAAAGAGTTCTTCAATTTGGGAGTTTTAAACCCCGAGGCCACTGCTTGGTCGCCTCCTCTAGGGCACTGTGGTTGGAACACCACCTACCCTCGATTGTCCAGCAAGCCCAATGACTTCTGGACGAATCGGAACTTGATCATCTGCGACTTTGTCCTTGCCGCCTGATTGAATAGATCCTCAGCGAAATCAGAGTCAAAGAATGTGTGAGTGCCCCAAATCGACCAAAGTTTAGATACCGTCAACGCCCCGACAATCGCAAGACCCAGGCCCTTGATGAGATGCTCCTTTCTTGTATATTTCATGTGTCATGTGTCCTTGAAAACCTTCCAGTACACCCGCCAGATGATTCTAGTGATCAGCCGCCCGTCGTGTCTGCTGTGGTATCAGACCAAGTTGCTCGTGGTAAAGGCACAACACCCGACTTACTATAATAGTGGATTCCAGAGCACTTGACTACCATCTTGCCATCGCTTTCTGCTCTTGTCTTTGTCTTCGGGCGGACCTTCTTCCATGGTTGTAATCGTGTGTCGACTGGCGGAAATCCTGCTTGGCTCATGTACATGAAGAAGTCTGCCCTCTCAATGGATTGGGTCGAAGTAAATTTGGTCAAGCAGGCAGGGATGGACTCTGGTGTCGTAGCCGGAGAGAGATGTTTCGAGGAATCATTTTCGGCATCTTGTCTCCACTCGTCTAGCTGTCTGTCGAATTCCGATTTCTGTTCGTCAACGGCATCGGCACTCATTGATAAATCGTCTTCTGCTCCGATACCAGGGACTAGTTCTACGTCAGCTTCGTCAGATGAGTCACGATGCAGGGGAAATACCATAGCCTGCGGGACACTCCGATATGGTTTTCATGACGATGAGGGGCTAAAGATGCTAGGAGAGGCTGAGCGAGGTTGAATGCTGAGCAAAAGAAAAGGGATTTGCAGAAACACAAAGGTTCAACGGGACAGGTTAGAACGTTAGAGATGTTGCGTTATCTGAGAGAAGTTCAAAGCCTGAGAGAGGAGGGTTTCCTGTTTAAAAGCCTCAGCCGCTTGTCTGCAACGAGACTGGACAGCTTAGAGCCAGTGGTAATTGAGGGTGCCCCCAGAACGTGGGGTCGGTTCGCCTGCCTGTATCATTTGAGAACCTGGGCCTGAAATACGGGCGATTGTGAATGTCGGCAGATTCCATCGTTCCTTGCGATACTGAGGTCCGTGAAGTAGTGGACCATTTCTCATCCGGTATTCAAGTTTGATAGAACAGACAACGAAAGAATTCTATAAAAGACCTACGATATCCAAAATGACATCGTGCCGGCTTCTTCCGCTGTAACTGATGTTTCTGTGAGGCAAGGGATAAAACACGTGGGGTGAATTGGCTAAAAGTATTACGTCCAGGCAGATCTTTCAACAACTTCGTAGCAGTCTCCGTTGGACTTTGTTCATTCATTCATTTCTGCCCCGGGACATATATACTACAGCCTCGTCTAAACTGTCTCGTGACAAAATCAATGGTCCCCAGGCTAGTCAACAAAGGCTTATTATAAACACTGCAATGCCGGACATCTACGCTGAGATCGACTTTCTTGCCAAATTGGATTTATATGCAAAGGAGCGACCCTACATCATGCTACTCGGCGTGGACGACGAAATCGATGACGACGTGCCCATAACAAACCTTCAATTTGAAACCAAGTCCAAAATTCTCATTCAAGACATGAGGGAGCACCCTGAGCTCATTTTCTCACAGTGCGGATTCGAGTTCTTGCGTCACTACCAATCGAGAGTGAACGTGTTTGAGACTGAAGCCGACATCATGCTCTACAAAAGGGAAACCGAATCACTACTCTCCTCTCATTTCGATGCGGTCAAGGCCCTCACATACGAAGTCAAATTGAGAAAGAACATCCACTTTGAACGCACAGAGTATGACGCAAACGATGAATTGGTCATTGAGGGCCCCGCGACAGGCGCTCACAATGGTACAAACAGACCTGACTCGGACTTTTATCAAGCTGACTTTCCAGATTTGACTTACGAGTCTGGTTTCAAAATGGTTTGGCATCGTCTTCAACCAGAGGATCGGGCGAAATATCTACGCCCTGGCTATAGGATACGAGTCATCAAGTAAGACGTTTCTGATATTAATAATCGGAGTTGACCAGTACAGCACTTGGAGGCCATTGAATGACACGCTCGAAGACCGCCCTCTTGCGCTTTGCGACTCCCGAACAGTGATGGACGATGACCTCAAGGTATCTGATCGAGTTTTCCCTACTCATGGGAAATCTGGCGAGCTTTACTTTCTGCAATATAACCCAGGCCAGCGTTGGTACTGGTTGGAGAGACAAAAGTCCACAGAACCCTTTATGTTTCTGACGTTTGATACCATGGCCAAAAGAAACATGGCTAAACGTGGGTAATGATTCTCGTTCATTAAGACCGGTCTTAATTCGCACAGTGTGTCCTCATGTATCATTCGACAACACGAGAGCATCTGCCACAGCGGAAGCACGCTCCTCTGTGGAAACCAGATCCCTGGTAATTACAATATGCGAACAGGATGCTGCACCTTGAGCTAAATTCCTTATACCGGAATTCTCGGACATGAGTATTGTGAGCGGCGTTGATGGCCTCGATACACGCGCATGCGAAAAGGGTAGGGTGGTTATAGACCTACAAAATGTGGTTTCCACACCCAGCGCAGCAGTTTTTGTAAACATCTGAGCCACTCATCAGATAAGACAAGCACAATAATTTATATCTGTATGGCCGAGTAGAGCACATTGAACGGATGAGGGAAGGACAGGCTGACAGGATGCGGTATTCACATCTAAAATTATGCATTTCGAAAGAAATTTGTGACTGTTCAAGACTACCCGGGGAGCTTCGCCATCTTAAAATAATGAAAGACGATGTTAATAGGACTTAAATCCATGTTGGTTGTACTCTCTGACACTATGGGATATGGATTGTAGCGACTCAGATCTATGGCTCCCCCTAGGCGCCGTCGAGAACCTTGAATGTCAATTGCGAATCATGCTCGGAATCTGTCGAAAGGGAATGCCACACTTTGTTGTTAGTCTGATGGACCCGGTGTGTATTGTTCGTATATGCTCTCTGGGCCAGTCCAAACTGTAAGCGCGGCCGCCCTAAGTGGCCACTTGGTCTTCGGTCTTCTGGCTTGAGAACAGTGCGGCCGTGCCAACCTCGGTAGGGGTATCGCATTTCGGAACATCCATTCCGTACCTGTGGTTCAAACCACATGCTGAACGGTACTGTTTAAATATGCATTTTGACATCGTGGGTCCTTGAGCACGGCTGGTGCCTTTACTGTGACCTTCCGAATGCTCCTTTTCGTTCCAAGTCGCTGAACTCCTGGACCTATATCGAAATCTGGCGACTTGAATGGGATGTATGGCCGACCTCTGCTGGAGACTTTAGCCTTTTTATTTCATTCCCTTCAAGATCTATTCTCGAAGCTTGAACCAAGCCATGAAGGAAAAAGGCCCTATTTCGGCTGATTCTTTGCCAGCTTTTCTATATGCCGTTCCCATCTCTACCATTCCGTAGCTGGCGTTCCGAAACTTGTGGCTCGGCTGCCACATGCCTGTAGAGCTCACGCATAATTGTGCTTATCAAACAATGGCTTTGTTGTCTCTGTCTTTCCTTAGAGTCCTCACCTACCCATAGCCAATTACGGAGTGTAGAAGCACGTGGCCATGTCTTCATCAGCATTACAGTACAATAAGGCGTTGATAACGGGAGGAGGCTCAGGTAAGTCAATCGTCCTAAGTAGACACCGATATGAATGGGACATTAATGAGAAGTACGTAGGGATTAACCTTGAGCTTGCAAAAGCCCTCCACGCACGGGGTATTTCAATCTTGATCGCCGACATCGCTCTCCATGAGGATGCGACCAACTGGCTCGAGAAGATAAGCCAGAAGGGCGATGCTGTCAAAGTGCTTTTTCGAAAGACCAATGTCACTTCATGGGAGGAAATTGAAGCGGCTTTCGATTTCTTTGAGGGCCAATTCGGCGGGCCTCCGCAAATAATAGTCCCAGGTGCTGGGATCTACGAAGCATCCTCAGCTGGGTTCTGGGACGATCGAGATGCCGCGTCACACTACAAGCTATTTGACATCAATCTGGTCCATCCGATCAAGACGAGTCGAATCGCCATTCGTCGACTACGACAGGCTCAATTGCCAGGCGTCATCTTGCATCTCAGTAGCATTGTGGCTCAGAAACCGTCAGTGGTACTTCCCCTGTACTCGGCATCCAAGGCTGCAATCAGCCAGTTCATCCGGTGTATGAGCCCTCTCAAGGACATTTGTGGGATTCGAGTGGTCGGAGTCGCTCCAGGGTAAGTGGAACCAGAAACCGAGATCACACATTCATGGGGTCTTCAACGATGCTAATTCTTCATAAGCGTGGTCGATACTCCTTTGTTTCGCGACAATCCAGTGGCGTTGAACCACATTAACATGAAAAAGGATTTCCTTCTTCCTACCGATGAGGTTGTTCGAGCAATGTTGTCTTTGCTGACTGAGACGAGATATCCTTCGGGAACAGTGCTAGAAATTGGTGATATTGGTGGCTGGCGTGAGGTTCAACTGTTGAACGATCCTGGTCCTCAAGGTCGATCCACCAAAGCAAGGTCGAAGGCGCAAGAAGCGCTCAGTCTGGTGCATCAAGCCCTGAATAATGATGCGCGGCGACGAGATTCAGTCCCCAAACTATGAGTATGAGGTATCTCATAAAGAACATAGCTTAGACAAGAAGCCTAGTTCGCCAGTTTTAAACGATGAATGCTTTGTGATGCATATCTATCGGGTCTTGACCTGATTAATTCACTTGCGAATGATGTACAATGCCTTGACTATATGCTACCTATCGTAAACATCGATTGATAGCTTGTCTCACGAGTCTACAACTTTGATGGTGCCGCCCCCGTCTTTTTCTGAATTTGAGGACGTGCCAGCTGGGTAGGCCAGGCGACATCCAGGTTCAACTCTTCTGCAACCTTGAGGACCCAGTGCGGCTCCTTCAAAAACTGTCTGCCAACGAAGATGACATCGCAGGCTTTGTTGGGAGATTTTTCTTCCACCAGACTCTGTGCTTGTGCAGAGGTCGTAATCTCACCCACTGTACCAACCAACAGAGTTTTCCCAGCAGCCTGGAGCTCATTTCGAATCCTTGAGGCCATTTCCCATTGTTGTCTACCGGCATCGAACACGGTGAAAGCTGCTTCTTTGATATTTCCAGCAGAGCTGACGTCAATCAAGTCCACACCTAGGTCGGGCAATAACTTGACAAAGCGAATGGTACTCTCGAGATCCCAGCTCCCGAGTCGTCGTTCCACCTGTGTGCCCTCCATCCAATCGGTGGCACTGACACGGATAAATAGTGGCATCTTTTCAGGAATAGCAGCCCTAACTGCTTTGATGACCTCAATAGTTAGACGGATACGATTTTCGAAGGACCCTCCATATTCATCTGTTCGACGGTTGGTGATTGGGCTAAAAAACTGATGCAGGATGTAGCCATGAGCAGCGTGGATTTCGACCACATCGATCCCTGCTGCAACGGCTCGTCTTGCCGACGAGGCAAAATCAGCAACCAGCTGGCGAATCTCCGTCTTGGTCATCTCTCGAGGGGCGTGATATCCTCCTGTGGGATCATTCTTGGGCTTGCCGTCGAAAGTATGTTGTTGTCCTCCACTTGGGCCAACAACATCATCAGGCCAACCGCCTTCCTTGACTTCTGCTTTAGCACTGGGTTGACCCAGACGAGTAGCAATCCATGGCGCTAATGTGCTTGACTTCCTGCCTCCATGCGAAAGCTGTACCCCAATGAGTCCGCCCTGGGAATGAACAAAATCAGCGAGTGTTTTGGCCCCTGCCGTCTGGGCATCGTTGTATAGTCCGGGGCAGTTGACACTGATTCGTCCACTTGCCTGTACTCCAGTCGCTTCAAGCATGACCAGAGCGGCGCCTTTGTAGGCAAAATGGCCAATGGTGGTCAGGTACAGAGGCGTCAAGACACCGGTTTGTGACCCCGTGGGGGCGCACGAGTACTGGCACATGGGCGACACACATATCCTGTTCTTCAGAGTTACACCCCGGATCGAAAGAGGCCTGAAGAGTGTCAGAGTATCCTGATCAATTCCCTTTACGGTCCCCGGGGAGTCCAAGTGTTCGGGTGTAAAGAAAGGGATATCGGGCACCGGTGCGTTGTTGCGTGAAACGGCGGACATGTTGAATTGATGATTCTGATGTCGTTGGTACTAAGCTATCGACAATATTCATGAACTGTGGTCGCTCTAGTAATTGGTCTATCTCACAATCCCCATCACTTAAGACACCGAGAAGTCGGCAGAGACATCCACGCCGAGCACAGTTCCGTTGCGGAGCAGGAAACGGAAGTGAGTACGGAAGACATCAGCCCACTCAAGTGTTTTGTTGTTACCCGGGCGAAATCGAAGTAGAGGATTCTAGTATTCTAGTGCAAGATCGCTTGCCGATTCTCCTTGATTGTTGGATATTACCAAAGATGGTTTCTGATGCCACATCGCGAGCCTGTTCCCGAACCTGTGACCCACCGAAAGATGAGACGGTGGCAAGATTGTATCAGTAAAGTTCTTGACATTAGCGTATCTTGTGCCACTTGAAAGTCTTGTCATCATTCAAGTCAGAGGAGCAGTGTCAGTAAATCAGGGGGAATCCCCTCTTGAGCAGTTATCAGAGAATCAATTAGTTGGTCGTCATGAAAGCGAGAACGTATGATTCTAGTCACGTGACTATGTATAGGTGGGCGACTTGGGCCGTGGGAATGATCGGTTGACGATACGACAGAATAATTGAAACAAGACAACCCACAGTGAAGAGTTGGCTATTCATCCCGTAAGTAGACGTCACAAAGACTGCCTGGGCGGAAAGGCGTGGGTGTCAATTCTGGAGCACTGTGACCTTGAAGCCCTTCTCTTCAGCTCAGGACAAAGAGCAGAAGCTCACGCTCGTCTACGAAGTTGGGCAACACGATGCAATGGCCATGAATTGATACCGGCAGACACATGGAAATGGTTTTGGAATGCTGTTGTTTCATTTTCAGCCGCGACGTATATCGCCCACGGCTAGTTACTCATCCCACCTGCGATCAGATTCTTTCTAAGCAATTGGCCCGTCCATCACCATGGTAAAGACCAGGAAGCGCTCGTCCAGCCCTCTGAAAGACAGAAAACACGATCGACATGCGTCTCTCCAACCCCTCATAACCGCTTACTTCAAGGGAATAAATCGCGAAGAGTGGGTGGCACCAATACCAGGACGACCGTGCTTGACAGGCTTGTATGAGATGGAGAATTCGCCGAGGTAGAATCCGACCATCTCAGGCTTGATTTCGACTTGGTTGAATTCCTTTCCGCTGTAGACACCAATGACGCTACCAATCATTTCGGGAACCACAATCATGTCTCGGAGATGTGTCTTGACCAGGTCGGGCTTCTCGTTAGGCTTTGCGTTCTGCTTGGCCTTTCGCAGTTTCTTGATCAGGCCCATGGGGCGGCGCTTGAGGCCACGGTTGAACCGACGGCGGGCACGGGCATGGAGGATGTTGACGAGTTCGCTCGAAGGGATGTCGAGGAGCCTGTGAATCGAAGGTTAGATTTTGGTTGGTTTCTTCGTCTCAGTACGGCCAAATGGCGACATCTGGAAAGAAAAAATCGAGGACTGGTGATGCACGTACTGGTCGAGATCAATTCCTCGGTAAGAAAACTTTCTGAACGCTCTTCTCTTCTTGAGCTCAGCGGCCTCTTCGGCGTTCTGCAGGTATGTCAGTATGCGTGGGCAAGGCGTTGAAAGAATCGTGACGCACGTATTCGGTATCAGCCATGATTGCGGATGGACTGCGTGATCGCTTTCCGATGTTTGTCTCGAAAAGCGGTGGTGTTGCTGATTGTACAGTTGAAGTCGTCAGTGATTGAAATCCGAAGTTGGATGTTGGGCCATTTGGATTAAAGTCTTGGCTGCGATTCAAAATCCAATTCTAGGGCAAAGTGGTATCACGTGATGTGGAAATCTTGGCACGAGTTTTTGTGCATTCACAGTAGCGCAAGCCATGGCAGGAGACGGCTATTCCACCAAAAGACATGGATTTCGATATGTATATACGAGGTTCAATTGATACATTCCACTCTACGATCGAAGACAGCAGGAAGGTTAGGAAATGCACATCTCCACTACTGAGGTATAAAGACAACCTCAACTGAAAAGTAGAGTTGAAGCGATAGATGGGCTTGTCAATTGATCTATCTGGGTCGGTGGCCTTGTCTTTTAAACCTGAACTTGGTGATACAATGCCATTTGACTTTGGTGTCCGTAATTGCATGCATGTATTCCGCCTGAGTCGACCATTGCAGATACCAATCGCTGACTCTGGGGTTTGTGAAATGCATCGTGCGAAGATGGCACCTTGGAGATCATTCTGCCACTTCCTTTCAGTTTGTCAACGCATCCATATTCAACGGCGGGAGCCAATTGTCTAGTCAAAGAGACCGAAGCCCATGTCCTCATCGGACTCTTCTTTCTCTTCCTCCTTCTCGGCGGGCTTCTCCTCCTCAGCAGCAGCGGCGCCACCGGCAGCAGCACCACCAGCAGCAGGAGCAGCGGCACCACCAGCGCCACCAGAGGGAACAGAGGCGAGCTTGCTTGATCCTTCGGAGATCAGCTGTATAAGAGGTCAGTACAGGTATTCCAAGTCCGTCGCAAGTAGTCGTAGATCATACCTCGTTGATGTCTTTGCCCTTGAGCTCTTCGAGGAGCTTGGAGAGACGCTCATCGTCAGCGTCAACACCAACAGATGACAGGACACCCTTGATATCGGACTCGGAGGGGTCGGTGTTGCCAGCAAGGCCGAGGAGGAGGTAGGCTGCGAGGTGCTTCATGTTGATTGAGATTTCTGCTTCAAGATGAGTGTTTGTAGCCTGGGACTTGGGTCGGGGGAAAACGTACAGGGGATGATAGGATGTCGAACGAGAGAGACAATCGATTTAACCGCGGACTGAGCGGAGACTGGCACGTCAAGTTCTATTGAAATGGTTGTTGAGGTGGAAGTTGACTGTAGTTGCGCGCACTTTGAATCCGATGGACTTTGTGTGGATGTGAAATTGTGTGAAAAAGGTAGAGCGAGGAAGGTATGCCGAAGCCGTGGGTAAAGCGGGACACGTGCCTGCGCCCTCGCCTCGCAGTCGAACCACAAACTGCAGATGACTCAACCAATCACAGAAGCCAAGGTGGTCAACGGGTCAGTTTAACTCCGTGGGGAATCAAGACGTTTCTTTGTCTTTGACGTTGTTCGTTTCTCTTGATTTCTATTCTTGATTCCAACTTATTGAATCACCTATCGGCGTGTTCCTCGATGCCAGATTTCTGCCAGTGACCTGTTCTGACACAGCGGAAAACCATCATGATTACCATGCATACAACAACCACTTCCCGAAATTCTCCATAACATACATAACCTGTGACACAGTTCCTACCATCGCCTACCACCACTCTGGCAAGATGAGTTTCTTAGGAGATATTGTCAATTCAATTGGCAGTGGGAAAGCGCCGACCCCGCCCAAATATTCTGTCCGACCACTGAGTGCCAACTCTGTGAGAGTTCCTGGAAATGAGCCGAAACTCGGTGCTCGCCCAAGCGTGGTACCGTTGCCTTCGCCACTCAACGGCATCAAGCGAAAGGCCGACACTGAACCATCCAAAGAACCAGATAAATATCTGAAACTGAACTCGGCGTCAAGCGTGTCAGCTCCTGTCGGTCGACGACCCGCAGCGCCACCTCTTAATGCACCCAAACTTTCCCACGAAAAAACGGCCTCGGCAGGAAGCCGGCCACGGATCGATACCCTAGGCAAGGCCTCGACCGTAAGCACTTCAACTCCTACCACACAGACTGCCCCTCCATCGGCCAAGCCACCTCCAGTCAAAGGATCATTCGCAGACATCATGGCCAGAGCCAAACTGGCACAAGAGTCCAAGGGTCAAAACAACAAAGTTGGTGTGATTAGACATCAAGCTTCTAACCGGGAAAAGGTATCCAAGCTGGCAGAGAGAAAGCGTCAAGAGGACGAGAAAGCCAAGGCTAGCAAGGAGAAGTCACATAGTCGCCCTGGAATGACAAGCAAGGACAAAGCTCGGAGTGTTAGTCCCACGAAGAGAGATGCTAGCCGGGCTCCAAAGGTTGCTCGACCTCCTTTACACGCCCCGGCGAGCTCGTACAAGGGTACGATGGGTCAGGCAGCCAGCAAATCTCGACAATCCCAGAGTCGGAAGCGAAGCAGATATGACGAGTACTTGGATACGGACGAAGAAGAAGGTTCAGATATGGAGGGGTACGGCGATGAAGACCAAGGAGACTACGAATCTGACGTATCATCTGACATGGAAGTTGGGGCATTCGAGTTGGATGAAGAAGAATCTCAGGCATTACGTGCGGCCAAAGAAGACGACGCACGGGAGCTTGCGTTGGAACAGCGGCTCAAACGAGAGAAAGAGGAGAGAAGAAAGAGGCTGATGGGACTAGCCAGCAAGAACAAAGGCAGGTGAGCACGGCAAAATGACGAACATGATTGATGTTTAGCAATGGAGTTCTGAGGCGATGGGCATGTCGGGAATGGAGATGAGGGCGATGGCGGGAGTGCAAGGCATACGAAGGAACAACTTGAATTGAGTCGTGTGAAAGTTTACAGGAATCCAGGACAACGGCGTCATAGGAAGCCCAAGGCATTTTTCAATGGGCTGGAGAAGCATTTACACAAGCGCATTCACATCGGGTGTCATTCATTGGAGCTCATTGCTTTTGCAAAGGCAGATAGTATAGAGACACATGGACCTCATGCGTCCTTTAGGGGAGGGAACAGTCCCCTCTAGCAAACAACCAACGCCACATCCCCGCTCATGTCCACGTGGAGTCCAAGAATTAATTAATCCGACACCAGAGTCTCGCTATCAACTCCCTCGACACGGTAGAAGCCCAACGAATTCAACATGGGCTTGTCGTGGAAGCGGTAGAGATAAACGGTCTCGCCACCCTCAGCAGTATGTTGATATTTATTCCAGGCCGGCACGCAGAACGTGTCGCCCTGTTTCCACTGGAATTTCTTGTCTCCCACATAACTGTATCCACTGCCCGAGACAACGTGATACACTGACGAGGCGGTTTCACGCACTGCAGGCGACGTGGCGCCGGCATTGAGTCGTTCGGCTGCACCACCAAGAATTTTGGAGACTGGAACAAGTGAAAGCCACGTGTTAGTAACAAACAAGACAAACGCTGGGTCGTGGGGGAAAGAGTCAGTAAATCCTTACCTGGACGGCCGTCCTTCTTGAGATAATCCTCTTGGGCCCAATCACCGGGAATGGCATCGAGTTTAGCCTGCATCTTGGACCAGGGGAAGACAATGGGGGATTGATTCGAGTCGACATCGGCGGCTGGGTAGCGGGGATCTTGATAGTGCTCGACGAAATGGACGGGGAAGTGTCTAAAGTTGGGCAGGTCGAGGCCATCAAGCCAGATCATAGGTCCTGACCCATCCTTTCCATGGTCGTGCCAGTTCCAAGTTGGCGTCAGGATCACATCGCCTCTCTGCATGGTGATGCGTTTGCCGTGCACGGCCGTAAAACCGCCCTGGCCTTCAATGATGAATCGCATGGCAAAGGCCGTGTGTCGATGTGCCTTTGCGGTTTCATTGGGCATTACCAGCTGGAGTCCTGCGTATAGTGTGTCGGTGGTGAAGGGGGCGTCTATGTGTGAACGAGTTAGTAGACTGGTTTGATTAGGGGGATTGAGAGGAATGCAATCCCATATTCAGTGGGAAATACAATCTCTCTCTAGACTAGACTCACCTCGTGCAGGATTGACCAGCATCAACACTCGTCGCTCAGCTTGGGCTTCAGTAATGATCTCACCGGCCTTCAGCAGACTCGGCCGCACCTCATCATAGCGCCAAATATATGGCACACATTGTGGGTTTGGCGCTGGAGGGTTCAACTTGGCCATGACAGTCCATAGTGGTTTGGTGTTGACCTTGAGGGCAGCGTCGACGAGTTCTTGAGCCGGATCTTGCGATCCGTTGACCTTGGTGCCATTGGTCTGGGTGAGGGTAGTTGTAGCGGTGGTCATGGTGATGTTTGGGGGGTTGTTTGTTAGGAGACAAAGACAAGGATGGGGATGATGATGGTGATAGCAATAGCAATTACCTTGTGGATTGGCCTCTTTTTGTATTTGAGTGGCGTGAGATGTCCAGACAAGACTCCCGATGACCTTTGGTAATTCCTAGCCTCGAGAGAATGAGAAGACGGCTTGGTCCAAACGCTGCCTCGTACACACCTTTGATGACAAGTAGAATCATCGAACATCGAACAAGAGGAGGCCTGAGGACAGTGGTGGGCGTGTTGTGGTTGGATTGCCGTGGTGGTGAGAGTGGGTCGTGTGGAAAAGCGTTGCCGATACATCCCCGACCATCCCCCAGAGTCTGGGTCCGAACTCATCTCCCGCGTCGATCGAAATGTCAAACAGATATCCGTCGAAGCGGGTCAATATCGGCTCATGGAGGCTAACCTCCGCCAATGCCTCCCAATATCACGGTCGTGTCTCGCTAACACCGTCACCAAGGAGTCCGGGATCAAGAAACAAAGGACATAATCATCTCCAGGTGTTGGCGACAAGACTTGACTTTTCATCGACTAGAAGATACATTATTACACTATAGAAACTCCCTTTATTTCATTCTTCTCAAAAACCTGGACTGCCAGATAACATCATGATCCAGCCCGATGGTCCTGAGGTCTTTGTGAATGGAAATGGTGCTTCTCACCACCCAGACACCGACGCCCAAGATCCAGAACCCAGTCACCTGTTTATCAAACTACCAGAGGTAAGCTCCCTTCAATTACTTAGTAGCCACTACTTGCTCGACTTTGTTTGCTCACCCTAGTCACAGACAGCATCATATCCCACTGGCAGTCTCGATTTCCTCGTCAAACTGAGGAGAGAACAGCAACAAGAAGAAGCGATGCGCCAAGCTTCATCACTTGCCAATGGTGAACGACAATCCAAACTCAAGCTTAAGATTGTCATTGTTGGGGCTGGACTCGGAGGTCTGGCTGCTGCTATTGCCCTCTTACGGAAGGGTCATCAAGTCACCGTTGTCGAGCAGGCTCCTTTTCTGGGCGAGGTATGTTTTGAACCTCTCCTCCTCTCCTAACCATTTTCCCAGCACTAACCCTGTGTTCAGGTCGGAGCAGGCATCCAGATCCCATCGAATTCCAGTCGACTACTCATCAAATGGGGCTTGAAACCATTCCTGGCTTCACGAGTCGTGACCCCAGCCAGCATTGCCTTCAAACGATGGCAGGACGGTGATGTAATCGCGCTGACCAAGCTGGTGCCTGAGTTTCAGGACAATTTCGATGCTCCTTACTGGGTTGTCCACCGAGCTCATTTCCACGACGCCATGTATCAATTGGCCAAGCAGCTGGGAGTCGAAGTGATACTCAACTCCAGGGTGGTCGAGTACGACCAGCATGGCCCTTCAATCACCACTGAGAACGGAACCACATACTCAGGTGATCTGGTCATCTGCTCCGATGGCGTCAAGTCTATTGGTCGCAAGATCGTGCTTGGTGGCGTCGACCAAACACCGCTGAGGACTGGGTTTGCCGCATATCGCGCCACGGTCGACGTCGACAAGATGCAGCAACACCCAGACACGGCGCGGTTGCTTGAGGTGCCCGGTTTGAATCTTTGGATCGGAGATCTGAGACACGTCATGACATATACTATCTCAGGCGGACGGGCGTTCAATATGGTACTGTCACATCCAGACCGATCAGACCCTGCAGGATGGGTTAAACAAAGCCCCGATGAGATCCTGTCACAGATGCGGAAACATTTCTCCGGATGGGACCCTGTACTGACCAAGATCATCGACATGATTGACTCGACGCTGAAATGGCCGTTGTTGAGCGGTTCGCCACTCAAGACCTGGATCTCCAGCTCGAGCAAAATGATCATCATGGGTGATGCCGCCCATGCTATGGTGCCCTATATGTCACAAGGTGCTGCAATGGCTGTCGAAGACGCTGCCGCTCTCGCCGAGGCTATCGATCTCGTCGACAATCCGGCCGAATTGCCTACGGCCCTCAAGGTGTGGGAGTCAGTCCGTATCCTGCGCACTGGCCAGATGCAGGAGGCCAGTCTCATCAATGGCAAGCTCTGGCATTTTGCCGATGGGCCTGAACAGCGTGCCAGAGACGCTGCGACCAGGCCAGAGGTCGAGGGTCGTCAATTCACAACCAGCCCCAACCAGTGGAGTGACCCTACAACCCAGCGTTGGACCTATGGTTATGATTCTGAAGCAGAGATCAGAAAGGCTTGGGCGGCTCAAAGGCCTTCCAAGGTCCAAGTCAATGGTAAATGATTGCTTCTCATCTAACCTCGAATGGTGTACACGGTGTTCGCGGTTTGGATTTCCACTTCGTCGTCTCCATGGAGCAGGAAATGCTTTCTTTCTAGTGAAGGCTTGTACATGGGTTAGCGTAACAAGTTTCACACACATATGCTATAGCTTGAGATCAAGAAAATATTTTCTACTTGTCGAGTTCGCCATCTCCGTGTTCATGTTGTCATTTCTTGGGCCATTGCATCGTAGACGGTCATGTCCAAATTGGGGATGCTGCTCAAGGTTGCCCACGCCATTGATACAGCTTCACTCGCCGATTGTTTCTTTGCAAGTAAAGCCTGGTCTGGCGCTCCTTGTCCCTCCATCCTGAGTTGCACATCTCTTGCCTCAATGTATGCTAGGTAGAATTGCATCTGCGCAACCCGGTCACCGTTTCCCGACTCTATTGCACTTTGTAACGCCAGCTTACCAAAATTCCCCGCGTCACGCACATGGGCCGTTTTCTGGACTGGCTTGAGTTTTGCACTGTGACTCAATTGAAGGCAGGTGGACATCATTTTGTGGTAGATTCGTGCAAGCTCTTTCGGAGTGGGTGCCAGCGTCGTCTGTTGTCTTTTGGCATCAAGGACCCGGCAAAAGCCTTTGAATGCATTCTCCAGATCGGCTTGGGTGATGGCCTCGCGCGGCTTGTTCAACAGCTTGTTGGCTTGATCGAAAACCTCAGCTGCATAATGTCAGCATATCTTATTATCATCGCCGGGGATCACTTACCCGTCTCGGCCGGGGTCATCTCGTCAGAGCCATGGTGTGTTTTCTCATCCTGCTCTTCCAGTGCTTGTGCCTGTTCGACCAAGAATTCCAGAGTTGGTGGATCTATAATGCACTCCTCAGTGTCTCTCCCCAGAAGATGGCTAATTCCGTTTCACTGACACTTTTTGCTGCGGAGATTCATCACACACTTGTACACCAGAGGTATGGTGTTTTGATGTTGGAGATATTCGTCCGTCACCGCATCGATTCGCCCTTGCTCTTTGTATTCTGCCAGACCCAACCCCTGGAGTCCTTGCTGCACATTGAAGCGAAAATATCGTTTGTCTAGATGCCCTCTCCATCTACTTGCAAAGCTTTGCTCTGTCTCGGTGGTCTCGTTGACAACTTTGACAATGTTTTCCGTCATGAATTTCCATGCGCGGTCACTGAGGGGATTGATTCTGGGTACCCCAGTTCCTACTGAGATGAAGCATTTGATCAGAGGCTCAATATGTCCTGTTCGTTCACACCAGATGTTGGCCGCTTCTTTTTCAACCTCAAAGACTGGGTTATTGGCGCCCATGGCACCATCCACGTACATCCGTTGGCCGATTTTGACGGCGTCAAAGAATGTCGGTGCTGCGGAGGTCGCCAGCGCAGCCTCCAGGATTGTGGCTTTCTCAGCTGGTCTTCCTGGCAGTCGGTACGCCCTAAGATATGCCACATGAAGGGTTTCTTTGGCCTTTGCGCAAACAAAACTAGCAGGGTTTAGTGGGCATCTTTATGAGGCAAAACTGCAACTTACACTTTGCACCTTCTCGTCTCCTCGTTCTCAACCTCGACATAAAAGGGCGTGTCAGCGGACAAACCTCTCTTCTCTATGACATTCTTGATGGCTCCAGCGAGAGCCTTGGAAGAGAAGCGCGCCTTGACATCGCCTTTCCAGCCTATAGCAAATCGACCTCGCTTTTTCTCAAAGACAGTGCTCATGAGCTCAGTGTATGCGTCAATGCATTCTTGGACATCCATCTCCAGGCGACCCAGCATGATGGCAATCAATCTGGAGGCATGTGAGCGATTATGATCTTGTTGTATACTGTCGCAAATCAAAAGCCTTACCCGCCAGTGCTCGTGCCTCCTATGAGATCGAATATGTCGCAAGGCTTGACCTGCGGGAGGTGGACTTTCTTCCTTTCATCATTGAGGCGCAACATGAGGCCACGCAGGATGTACAGCGAGGAGAGACCCCGGACTCCGCCTCCATCTAACGATAAGAGACACAGTCCCTCGGTCTCCAAATCAGGACTTTGGGAGCCATTCGCAGTCAAGGCACTCGCATCGGAACTTGGTTGGGTCACCCCACTCGACCGTGGCGATGGCAATGGTGAAGTCGAAGGAGGCTGCATTGCGATAGTTGATTGCAACCTTTGGTCATGAAGCAGGCTCAACATATGGCCTTCTGTAAGTAATGGCTCTGGCAAGTTGGCGGGAGTTACACGCTTTTTGGACGAGCAACCACAGCCTCACACTCGAGATCAGAAGTGGGAGGGGGCTTTGGGCTGGTGACCAGCCCTGGAGTGCTTTGAGGGTTGACATCAGGGGCTTCGCGTGGTGCCGCCGATGCAACGCATGGTCACACATGTGGCGGCCAATAGCATTAGCCACAGCAAAGGAGATTGTTTCTGTTTAGAATATCGTGAGGCTGAAGAATTAAGTGGAAGGGCAGGCATGATCATGGTTGTACCGATATAATGAGAATGCAGGGTTCGATACAATCACCTCAAGGTTGACAGTTCCATCTTTAGTCTCAGGAACCGAATCTATTTGCATCTGGGCCGTAGGGGCGTCAGCCACAGTTCTCTAGTTCGGCAGCCTTACTGGAAAGGGGTGTTCTGGCTTCACCAGTTGGAGAAGGGTGTTCGATGGCATACTCAAGCGCTCATTGCCTGCCTTCATCGGGTTGGACACCTCAAAAATCTAGGGTAATGAGGCCTGGCCGTCTAGCCAACAACTTGTCGAAGCCTGAAGCCCTTGAGATGGTTGCTCGAGAGTCTATTATGGTATTCCCGTTCGCCCAGTTGGTACTTTGATTTCAAATTCTATTCTCAGGCACTAAGAAGTGTCTGCTAGATCTGCGATAATCGTTTACGTCGTAAATTGCGTTCGTACGGGCTATCGAAAGTGTGTGGGTTCTAAGCCAGTGATACAGCCATTTGCCATCGACATGGAGCTTGCAGCATATGGCTGTCTTTCCCCGGTCAGGGATGTTTTAGGATTTATCTGAGGGGACGGGCAGTTGAGACAAGACTCGGAGGTGCTGGATGAGGCGGGTTCAAGGGCCTTGTATAGGCCGGCATATTCGCCACCGAGTAAGAGTCCGGAGGACCCAGGGTTTCCGCGGACAGTCGGTGTAGGTCTGAAGGTCTTAACTGCTGTGTTGACATGTATCCATAGTTGTTTGGATAAGTGGGTAAATCCACTGGATTCTGTTGACGTCGCTTCTGCCTGATTTTGCGAAAGAAGACGGCGGCGATGATGATTGCAAGGCCTGCAATACCACCTACAACAGCCAATGCAATCTCCAGGGTCTTGTTATTGGAGGAATCATTGTTGGGAGTCGTCTCGGGCTCCTCTGCTGGATTGGTTGATGTACTCAGGTTGCGAGTATTGGTGGATGTTGTAGACCTCGAGGTTGCTTGAGTAGTTGATGCCGAGTTTTGGGCTGGCAAAGCTGTGAAGCCACGATCGTTGCAATAGCCCGTGTAGATACTGGCGGCGTTGGCGAGATTAACACCGTTGTCACCAAGGGTGCACAGCTCATCGATGCAAGAAGAAAGCCATTCGTTAGCAACCAATTGAAGATCTCCTCGACAATAACAGTCATCAACGGCAGCAAAGGTCTTGGAGCACGGTTTGTTAGGACAGCCAATAACACTCCCAAGAATGTCTGTGTAGCAGAGCTCGAAACCTCCAGTGAAGCAATTTTGAACACAACTCTGCTGTAACGAAAAGGCGTCGAGGGTGAAGACCGACTGATAGGCCTGGCAGAAGACGAGATCAAGGTGGACAGCCGCAAAGAGAAGAGTCCAGCAAGAGGTCGCGAACGAGGGAACAAAAGATCCAGCATTGCGACGGAGAGGGAGTTTGTAGAAAGGGAAATGATCAGTGTGGGAGAGTCAAGGTTGACAAGTGTATCCTAAGTAGCGCGACAGAGTGGTCGAGAGTGGTTGAGGGGATTCTGGACAAGCCTACCGTAGTGGCAACCTCGTATCCCCATTAGACGGGGGCATGTTTGAACTATGCGCCACGTCCAAGGGGCTGGAAGGCGCCTGTCTGGGGACGCATGGAACCCCCCTCGACATGAAGCTGAGGTTTTGGACCATGATGAAGTGTTGGCTGTAGAGATTGACCGGACAAATGATGTGACAGGTCGATGGTAAGAGGGAATAAGCGCTGTATTGTTAATAGGCAGGACTTACCTCTGGGGCGTACCCCCTTGACGATTGATTTGAGCCTGAGGGGCCCAGGGTCTGCTTCGAAGAATACGAGACAATACATACTCCGTAGTAGATCGAGACAAGGAGAGTTTGGTCTCGAGGTGGCACTGATGGGAGGGTTTGTGGTTTTTGGTGGGAGAAATTATTTGTGGATTTGTGGGATTGGGAGAAGGGAAGGAGCAGGTGTGGAATGGTTATGACTTCCTCCTTATGCCTTTTGAGGTCAGAGCTGGAAGGTGTAATAATAATGTGATAATCGCGCCTGCCTGCATCATCTTGCTTGGGGCCCGCCTCGGCCCAATCCTCCCTCGGCGATCGGGTTACCCTTATAAGTAACAAGGCCTGGAAAAAAGACGGTCCGGTGTTCAGGTGTTCACGTGCACTGGACACCTGCACTCATCACACTGGCGTAACTGCAACTACGCCTGCACTGAACAATCAATAATGGCTGGGCTTGGATTGTCAGTGACAATTTAACCCAACCAAATTCAACCCAATCCATCCCACCCTCCAACCAGCTATCTCAACCATCTGCAAATCACCGTCATCCTTTGCGACAAATAATGTACCAGTAATCATCCTGCTGGACTTGTCCAGCCTGTGCATATTAGCAGCCTCGATGCTTGTCACACCTTCTCATTCGACTATGCCTCGTCACTTCTCTTGATCGCATCCACCATACCCACCATATCACCATTGGAAGATCGTCCCAACCCCGTCAAGATACACCTATTACATATCGCATCACCATGCCCGCCTCATCGCCGTCCCCTATGAAGCGCCCTTCGTTGAACGAACGTACATCCTCCACCGTCTCCTTGTCTTCCTCGGGCAAGCAGGCCACCACCCACAAAGTCCATCGTCCCCATGTCGTTAATCGACACTCGAGAAATGCTTCCCATGGAAAAGGATTGAGCAAATTGGGCAAAGTGCATTCCACAGCCACTTTGGCAGCTGATACTGCGCGCCATCAACATCAACGCAAACGATCAGGAGGAGGTACCCCGCCTCAGAGCCCCGGGGCCTCCCTCGTGCGCAGAAACACCTCTCATGCCCATCTGCCCAAGAATTCCTCCCATGGCAATCTACGCAAGAACCATTCCGCAAACACCCTGGCTCGAAATCTGTCACATCCTGCCCTCAAGAAGATCGGTCTGGCGCCTGCGCCCAAATCCAAAGCTCGCGGGGATGGCAAGGATGGTGTCTTCCAAATCGGCGATCACTCCTCGGAAGATGAAGAAGAAGGCGAGTGGGAAGATTCAACCACGCATTCGCCCGAGATGACGCGGAACAATTCCAAGACGTCGACACCTGCACGAGCTGGTACACCCAACGGTGAGGGGCACTCGCAGAGGCCGACCAACCTTGGACATGTGGAACTTGGGCTTCGGAAGAACAATCGCTCTGCGCCCAATTTGATCATGGTCAGTTCCCCCTCGCCAGACCAGCTTCCTTCTGAGCCACCGTTGCTCCACCAAAACCCTCGCTCGTCACGGGCACCGCCTGCAATGTCAACCATCTCAGCCCGAGCAGGCCCAGCTCAAATCACCCGAACCGATTCTTCTCGCTCATTCTCTCGTGTCGAACACGTGGAAACTGCCTCGATGAACCCAACTCCAACCATGTCCAACGCAGCCGCATCATCCTCGGTGGATGGCGGCGTTTCCCGGTTTCTGTCTCAGGATATACCCAAGCCCGCGCCGCGTGTCGTCCAGGACGAATCTGATTCCGATTCCTCGACTGAATTCCTTTCGAATTACAAGCCACAGCCTTCCGAAAGCCCGGAGAAACCTCGGTCTATACACAAGGCACGCACAACCTCTCAAACACAATCGCGAACACAGCAAAAGCTTGATTTGCAAAGGAGAGAGATGGTACGACTGGGGGCCTCGACTATGAACACACCGCCCACGCCTGGGTTGGGACTGGACCTTGGATCTTCCACGTCTCTCCACAGCCGCACAGGGTCGCGGAGCCGAACTCGAAATTTGGGAGGTGGTCGGTCTTACATGGGAGAATCTCGGGCAACACAACAGGAATACGATGTTGCAGTCAAACAACTCAGCGTGGTGCGGAGGTTCAGAAGTCCCATCGTCGAGAGTGTGGTTCGACTCAAGGAGAACGGGGTGTTCCCTGAGCATGTCGGGCTGACTCCTGCCGGCGGTCCATTTTCCAAAGGTCGACCACAAAGTCGGCGGGGTCCGAGCACTAACAGCGTTCAAACCGCCGGCAAATCAGGACTCAGCCGAAGTTTTGAGGATCAAACAACTGGGTTCCCAGCATCTCGATCCTCGACTGGGGGCAGAAGCTCCCGGGTCCACTTCCAACGACAGACCAGCCACGACGACATCGAGGTGACGCCGTCGCAAGGCAGCCCGGGCGGTTCACAGGAAGAGGATCACGACGGCCTTTCGCCAGAAGAGGCACTTTTACGACGGATATGGGAGAGTCGAGAGCTGTACGATTCGGCGGAATTTGTCACACCGGGATGAGTGGGGCGTTGATGGGACGGTGAGACAGGCCGGATAGACGATGGCTCGATCTTGGATGAAGCGAATGATTGTGGGTTTCTTGCTGCGTTCAAGCGAGTTTGTGACTCGGGTTTAGCCAGCCAACTTGGCAGATAATATCGATGGCTAGCGAGGTAGAATTGTCGCCGCGGCCCCATCGTCGTCCACTACATGTATTTTAGTAACCCACAAACGGGACGAGTTGGCTCGGCACAAGTCAAAGTATGGATCTATGTATATGTATATGACATTGATACCTGACTTAGCGTATCATCTCAGTCGCCCTCTTCTTACTTCTAACATATGACCGGGGCCACCTGGCCCTGTTCCATGTCTGGCTGGCCGCTTTCAGAGTCCCCAATCCCACATTTCTGTTAGCACGGCCATTCGACTTCAAACGCCATGGCCCGGACATCTGTGGCTGCAGCTTTCGTGATCCCACTACACTCGTACGGGTAAGAAGCTCTCCTACCAAGCAGAGAATAAATGTACTTTTGTACATGAAAGTGGGGTACCGGCGCATCCAAGAAGTCTTGTTGTCGTCTCCACACCATTTTCCTCTCACCGACGTATTCCACCCTTCAACGCGTTAGAGCCACACCTTTTCTATCATCTCTGGTCGAGACGGGGACCGGACGGTGATCAAGAAGGGATTGTGTCAGGTCCACCGATTCGCTCTTTCTATTCATTCCACGTGCGCACCCTGCCTCTCCCTCCGTCTCGCTTTTGCTTTTCAATCTACCGAGGCTGTCATTAGGAATGACACTACGACTTTATGGGCCACTCAACAGTCTTCTACTATTCTTGCATCGCATGACTCTGATCTCAAAGGAGAAATTGGGCTAAATCTGGGGATCGAGGGGCTTCTGTGTCGTGGCTGCCATTGCAACTCTTTGAATTTGGCACCTTCCCAGTCACTCGCCATCCAGTCGCCACTTCCCACGGCTCGCGATGAGTTGAGGCAGGTGCCATTTCGATTTCGGTCGCTCTTTCCCTGTTTCCTTCTCACGCCATATCTTTTCATCCCTCATTCTCTCAATCCTCCATCCTCTCCTTTTAGAGGCTCTCAACTCACTGGTCAACACTATCACCATTCAAACTGGTTGAATTACCAAATCCACGCCCAATAATACTCTCATCATGCCAAAATCTCCCAAAATCCCAGTCCCGCCATCATCACACGTATCCATCGGGTCCACCTCTTCCAAACCATCTACAGCAAGTTCCCAAATGACCACGACTCCTGTAACCCGCCCTGATCGTACAACCTTTTCTACCGTGATAGATGCCGACCACAGCACCATCAACCAGTTCGCCGCTCTCCTCAAACGTGCTACTACACCAGAGGAAAGAAGTCGACTCATACTCGAAGTCGCCTGGCGCTTGGTCCGCCATGATTTTTCAGAGGAGATGGTAATGCGCCCTGCCTTCATTGCCCACCTAGGTCAAGAGGGTCAAGAAATGGCCGATCACGATCGAAAAGACCACACTGCTGCTCGCAAAGAGCTCCTGGATCTGTTAGATTCCGGCCTGGATCTTAATGAGTTCCCAACTCGCATCGGTGACCTATTTGCGGAACTGGCCGAGCATATGAAAGTCGAGAGTGGACAATACGTCCCCAAATTGGAGCAGCTGCTCAACATATCAGAGTCTCAAAGATTAGGATGGGAATACCTCCACACCCAGATCTTGACCCCTCAGATCGAGTACCTGGATAGCAACGGCAAGCGGACAAGACTGTGGAAGAGCGCAGAGGACTACGTCCGCTCTGAACCCAATCGATTCCTCGACATCTGGCATGGATACATGGCCGGAAACATCAAACTGATAGCGGAGAGTAGTGGTGTCCGCGTCCCTCCACGATTGTGATTGGTTTTGGGTATAGGACACCTTGGACATGTTTACATATACTTGTCTGTTGATGCATACACTAGTTACAGACATGGATTTTTATAACCACGGCATCCGAACGCCATGATGGTCAGAATAAATCAATACATTGCTAGCGAACGTGGAACATCCCAACCCGTATTCGGGTGCTGCCGCGACAAATTACCACCCAGATAGTAATCGATTGCTGTCATATCTCTCTCCGTCTGCAATCTTCCTCCCGGCCTCCTTACCATGGACAGGCAACCGCTTGACTTCTTTCTCGCGCCCTTCTTCCGCCGTCTTGAACGAGTCTGGAATCAGCTTTGGATCTAGCAAGCCGATCTGGACAAGGACCGACGCTTGATCCCAGTGAATATGCTCTTGATATAGCCTGCCACCGCGGACACTGACTACACTGATCAAAACAACCTCGACTCGTTTCTCTGTCGGAGGCACACCAGGAAGCATCCATGGCATCTCAACAGTGTGGGTGAACTTGACCAGCATCTCATCTACCACACGGTCGGCACCCTGAGTTCGCGACAGTAGCTTCACCTTGAAATCCGGTGGGTTGCTATCAACAAAGAAGTCCGAGTAGAAACGCCTTAGTTCATCCTGACCCCTGCCGCCCGTCATGGTGGGCCCGTGATTGACATAGGGCTCGTCTCGGACCATGAGGTCCATCGCCTTGTCCGCATCCTGGTCCCGGAATAGGGCAGTCACCTTATCGTCCCACAGTCCTTCCAGATCATACTCAGGCATGTCAAACGCGCGTCGCAGCATGGCAATGTCACGAGACCAAGCCAAACCAGCTGCAACCGTGTCGAACTCCTCCATATCATGTTCGGCAAATCCAGGCTTGACGTCCGGATAGCGATAGTTAGGGTGGCGGGTACCAAACTTCTGTGACCCCGTCAAGTGGATTTGCACGTCGAGCGTTGGCGGGAAGTTGGTCGTCGTCCGCGGCATATAAGGCGGGTAATAGGCGACGACGGCGACTAGTTTGGGCATGGGCTTCATACACGCCTCCAGCACCAACGTTGCTGCATCGCCGTATGCCACAATTGCGTACTTTTCCCCTAGCTCCAGCGGATCCTGTAGGTGTTGTAGTTGTGACATGTATTGCGACTTGTTGCCTTGATAGGCTAGATATGCCAACTGAAATCCTTCCTGTTGGAAATGCTGCACCGTCGTCGGATCAAACTCGTCCGTGTCGCTCGTTATCACCAGACGTGGCACCTTGGTGTTCCAGTTGAGACTTATCTGACGGCCGCTGTTGCCCCCTCGCATCCTTCGCCTCAAGTCGTTTCTGGCCTGTCGCACGCCATCTGGCGCCGACGTGTCCAGGTTGATGGTTGGGAATCCTCCCACATTGACTTTGACCATGATGGCTCTCCTGGGATGGTTGGGTGACTTCAAATGGAACCAACAGCTTCAGCTTGACGCTAGCCTTGACAGGAAATAGAAGTGAGAGAGATACTCAAGTTTAGAGTCCGTTCGAAATAAGCTTCATGATATATATATCTTGGAGGGGGGAAAGGACCAAAACTTGGATAGACTGAGGAGGGGTTTGAGGATCCTTTCAAAACCGGGGCTGATGTAATGTCTGAGAATAGAGACAACAGGAATCCCAACCTGGTCGTCGACGTCGAAGTCCCGTTCAGCCGTTCTTACTGCCGGATTCACACGTTGTTGACTATGACGTTAGGTTGCTTCTAGGCGAGCCACACCCGGACGATGATCATCCCAGGCGTCTCTTGGCCCGAGGCGCCGCCTGGAGCCCCTTGTCACTTTTTCTCCACCATCGCCACCATTAGAACCACTGTCAAGCACTGTCCACACGTGTGTTCATTACGCGATTATCCACCTTTGGAGACTTGTTTCATCTCCAAATCGAAAAATGACAAAATATCAAAGCTGATAAGGCCTTCTTTCACAACAACTGAATGAGTACTGAAAGCCCTTGACATGCCCGGGCTGTTGGCTGCGAGCAAGATGAGTGTGTCCAGTCGACCTGCGGTCATCTGTTCGAGGTCTCTCTTGAGAGCCAGACAGCAGATCCCACTTGGCAGTTGTCTATCTCGTCGAGGTCTTGCAGGAGACACTCGCTCGGCAAGAGACAGGCTATTTCGAGTGTCGGAAGAAGTCCAAGACGCTCTGGCGACTGGTAAACCCGTGGTGGCCTTAGAGACAACCATCTACACCCATGGTAAGTAGAGCCCCGCCCTTCCATCGCTTCGAAATATCCAACCCACTCATCTATGTCATTGTCCAGGTTATCCCTACCCCGAGAATGTTGCTCTTGCCTCCCACCTCGAATCCCTCGTCCGAGTCTATGGAGGTGTCCCTGCCACCATTGGTGTTCTCAATGGCGTTGCCCATGTCGGCATGCAGCCTGAAGAGTTGATACAATTGATCAAGACGGCCGGCGAAGAAACAACCTGGAAATTATCTAGACGTGACCTTGGCTTCATCGGTGGACTTGGTCTCAGAGGGAAAAAATTAAATGGCGGGACCACCATTGCCGCAACCATGATCCTTGCCCACCTCGCTGGCATCAAGATCTTCGCAACTGGCGGCCTAGGAGGCGTCCATCGAGGTGGAGAATCTTCTATGGACATCTCGGCTGATTTGACCGAGTTGGGTAGGACTCCTGTGGCCGTCATCAGCTCCGGGTGCAAGAGTTTCCTCGACATTCCACGCACCCTGGAGTATCTGGAAACACAAGGTGTTGGTGTCGGTACTTTTGCCGATGGCCGCCATGGTCAAGTCGACTTCCCGGCTTTCTGGTCGAGAGACTCGGGTGTGAAAAGTCCTCAGACCATTGTCGATGAAGCGGATGCCGCTGCTGTTGTCTATGCTCAGTCTATGCTTCCAGTCCATTCAGGCTTGCTTTTTGCAAATCCTGTCCCTGTGGATTCTGCCATGGAAAAGGCTACGATTGAAGGATATATCGCCACTGCCGTGGCCGAGGCTGACAGAAATGGTATTCGTGGAAATGCCAACACTCCTTACATCCTCAAACGTATCAGGGAGCTGAGTGATGGAGCCACTGTTACGGCAAACTCGGCTCTAGTTGAAGCCAATGTTATTCGCGGCACCAAAGTTGCAGTGGAGTTGGCTAAATTGGAGCGACAAGATGCAGCTGCATCACAGCGGTGAGACATGTTAGGGCTTCACTTGGTATATTGAGGTAGACACTGACATATACAGGGTGGTTCCCTTGGTTTCGAAGGCTGTGGAGACCTCTCCCGCACCTGCAACCCTAGAAGAACAGGTAGTGCCAGAACACGCACCGAAGAAAATACCATTCGATGTACCATTCGATGTGTTCGTGGCTGGAGCTCTGGCAAGTGACACTCTATGTGACTATCAACCACTCTCAACCACTGTCACTGAAGTGGCGCCTGTAATGCACACATCCAACCCTGCTCAGATCACACAATCCCCGGGAGGAGTCGGGCGAAATGTGGCATTTGCGGCACATTTAGCAGGTGCTCAAGTCGCGCTAGCAAGTGTCGTGGCCGATGATATAGCAGGTCAATCGCTTTTGAAGCATGTCAAGGATACTGGCATCTCGACCGACTACATTCGACAAATCCCCACCTCTAATGGTGCCAGAACAGCGCAGTACGTGGCAGTCAATGACATGAAGAAAGATTTAGTGGTAGCTATGGCAGACATGGCAATTCTAGGTCACCCTGATCTCGAATCAACAAGCTACTGGTCAGAAAGCATTGCAAAGGCTCAGGCCAATTGGGTTGTGGTGGATGCAAATTGGTCGCCAGCGATCCTCTCGTCCATCATCACGGCTGCACAGTCGCAGAATGCCAGGATTGCTTTTGAACCTGTATCGACTGCAAAAGCAGCACGTCTGTTTCACCCGGAGACATCAGCCATGACGCCGTCCAAGGTAGTTCCGAACCATGTAATCAACCTTGCTTCACCAAACAAAATGGAGCTCTCAGCTATCTATCATGCTGCTCGCGACGCCTTGATGTTTGAGTCGGACCAATGGTGGAAAGTGGTTGATAGCTTTGGTCTCTCTGGCTCAGGATCAAGAGACCGGCTCGTGGCGGTGGCCGGTCGGGATCTGGTTGATCAAGGCATTCCCCAGCAGTGTATTCAACTGTTGCCGTTTATTCCCAATCTCGTGACCAAACTCGGCCGCAAAGGCTGTCTCCTTACCAGCCTCCTCAGACGAGGTGACGATAAGTTGACTGACCCAGAACACGCACGGTTTTTCATTGCGAGAACATATTCCGACAATTCAGAGATTGGCGGGGTGTATATGAGACTTATACCTCCATCCCGTCTTGTCGAGGAGTCAGAAGTTGTGTCTGTCAACGGCATTGGTGACACGATGCTGGGCGTTATTGTTGCAGGTCTGGCCAAAGGCTACGCCCTGGAGAACATCCTACCAACTGCACAGGACGCAGCCATTTTGACTTTAAAGTCTCGCGAGGCTGTTTCACCCGAGGTGCGTGGGATCTTGAACAAGAAGTAACACGAGTTTCAATTTCGAGGCGATAAACCACGTGCTTGGACGGATGAGGCATCGCTCAAATCCTTTTTTGGCGCAACCAATGATGATCCAAGAATGAGTTCTTACCAGAAGTCACCTTATTAATCATCGACCATCAGAAGCCAGCACAGCAGCGGGACACACAGATTTACTTAGCACTACATCATGCCATCTTGATATAGCTCTGTCGCGCATGTCATCGGGGCGAATGCTTGTAATATCCATGTCTACAACATGTTCTCTGCTTCACGAACAGGATTTCTTTCCCTATTGGTCCTCACAGTTCTTGCGACAGAGCTACTCGCACAGGGACCGGCAGATATCGATGGACTGGAAGCAAATCGTTTGACGGTTCAAACTTGGGCATTCAACTCGTCGGCGCCAAATATCCACTCCCTGGAAATCCGACAAAGTTCTTGTCCCAACCCAGGGACTCTTGATTACTGCGAGTCGAATTACTGCTTCCTGGTGCAGACTCGTGGCAGTGCAGGCTGGGGCACCTGCTGTCCATCCCAATGGTCCTTGATTCTCTACAGAGGAGGTTCAGACGGATGGACTAGACAGAAATGTTGTCCTCCTGGTGTCACCACCCAACAGTGCGACAATGATGGAATCTCGGAGCCTCCATTACGACCTCTTCAATGCGGTAACGGCGCCATATTGTCAGGCTGGGCTTGTGTATATGGAACTCCAAATGGATCACCAAGTCAACGAGGATGGTCTGGATGGTTGGTTGTGATGCTTGGGATTATTTGGGTTGGATTCTTCAGTCACCTGCTGTAATCCAAAGCGAGAGGAATTCCATTTTGGAGTGATTTTGGCCACAACATTGCTGCATTCAAGCGACTATGCACCTATACATGGATAATGAGATTGTTTTCATCATTGTCAATTGATTGCTCTCATGCAAGAACCTGAAGATGGAGCATCAAACACCTTGTGTGGAACCCATGTGATACCTAGAGGCATGACACCCACGTGATATATGAATCTTTAAAGCGCCGTGATTATTCACCGCTTAGCCGGCAAACCTGCCACCATATAACATAAAAGCGGCAACTTGAACTACTGGTTGTTGAATCCCCTAATTGGCAAATAATGTCTAGGTTGTCACTTTACGGTTCCCGCAGTTCGCAGTTCGCAGTTCACGTACGTCGCAACAATTCATCTGGAACAGGACAACTTGATCTTACGCCGTTTACACATAGACCTTACCTTGACAATCCTCACTGTCTGGTGTTGAAATTACTCTTCTTCTCTCCACCTTCTCGCTGCGTTCTTCTACCCTCATTTCTCCACTCCTCCGTGCCCTATTCAAACAGCGCAGTTCAACATGGCGGACCGCTTCCCTTCCATCGAGGACATTGATGCAGGTCAGCAGGTCTCCTTTTCTCCCACCCAACAAAATCAGATTCTAACCTTGCCTCAGGCGAAAGCGATGTCCGACCAGACTCCTCGACAGCTCAAGGCAGTTTCCTAGAGCGAGAACGCGCCCTGTTGGGTGAAGATGCCGATCTGTTTGCAGCAGGTGACAAGACAAATGCCGCGACTGTGGCCGATGGCGACGACGACGATTTACTAGGTGGAGATGGTGGGGATTTCACATCTGGAGCACCCAATACCTCGAGTGGTCAGGGCGACTTGGACGATTTCGAGAGCTCATTCCCTGCCATTGATACACGGAACGATGTAAGTTGCACTTTGGGGCCGTGGCTTGGCCACATGTACCTGAACCCTTGTCGGCCAACTTATCATCTGGAACATCTCAGACTGACACCAACATAGAACATTGGCCCTGGTGGAACCATCACCAACTCGGCTCTTCCATACCACGGTTCCAGCGCTCCAGGCACCTCGGGCTACACCAACTACAACCCTCCAGTTGAAGAAGACGACACCGAACCCATCCGTGAATGGCGGTCGAAACGTGACGCCGAGATCACCCGACGTGACGAAGCAAGTCAACGTAAGAAAGACGAGACCATCGCCACAAGTCAGGAAGACATTGATTCATTCTACGAATCCTACAACCGCAAGGTCGACAAGCAAAAGGCACAGACCGCCAAAGAAGCTGAAGAGTTCCTCAAGAATAGAGAAGACACCACCGCAGGTGGCACCAGCTGGGAGAGAATCGCCAAATTGGTCGATCTGTCTGGCAAGGGTCAATCTGGCGGCGGAGATGGCAGTTCCAAGAAGAAATTCCGGGAATTGTTGGTTAGTCTGAAGAGTGATAAGAATGCTCCGGGTGTGGCTGGACTGTGAGAGATGAGAGATGCGACCTGGTTTTGTTTGGTTTGTGCATGTCCGCTTGTCGACATTGGCTGCCATATCTCGGATCAAGGAGTAGAACAACGCTGAGATGACAGCACGAGACATGGTCGATGAGTGGGGGGATTCAAAACGTACTGTGGAATTGGGAGCTCAGCTGAGATGCTTTCTTACCCTGGGCCATGTCCTTTTATTCCATTGACGACGCCAGAACATATCGACGTCAGGGTGTCGGCCCAGATCCAAGTTCAAGATCGTGGCGTTTAGGAGGGAATGATTAATGTAACTACTAAACCTACCATATTCTACGGATGGTAATTTCCACGCACACCACGCACAGTTGATTGCCTCAGGCCATACTACTCATCTATTATAATCGTCGGCATCACTGTCGTCGAATGACCCTTGAATTACCCATATCATCACCTTGTAAGCCTTTCCAACCCCCATCTTCTTGCCATAAAGTACCGGGTTCACCTCAAGTACCTTCACCACGATCCTCGCAATATGTCCACACCATCCCTTTTACATATAGGTAGCCTTGTCAAGGTAACGCCGTTCCACCTTGAACCACTCACTACCTTAAATAAACATCCGTAATGAACCTACGAATGGTTAAACTATATCTACAGCACATATTACATTTGCCTCATCCATCCCGCCTCACATTTCCTACCCAAATTTGTGTTATCGGGACCCTCCTTCACGTGACCACCTCCTTCGGATAGGTTACCTTCCTTCATAATGCCTGCCCCTTGGAGATATCGTATCACAAGTGACGGTTGCCCCTGTTATCAGGTTGATCTACTGATGACATTTTGGGCTCGAGGTTGACATAACGGTGGGGACTATGTTTTCTGGTTCTAGTGTCCTCATGGTTCGGTGTTGGTGATGCCGGTTGAATAGGGTGGTGTTCTTGTATAGAACGATTGATCGAGACTTTGGTGATATGGGGTTCTCGAATAGGGGTAGGCCGATAGATGGTTGTGTTTCAGGTCATCATTGAGAAAAATCCTTGTAGAGGTCTTGATTAGATGGTATTTCCAGACAGGAATGGGAAGTCAGATGGTTTTATTGTAGTCCTCCATTCAGACAAGTACCTATATGTGCTTTCATTATCTATTGTTCCCAGATGGAAACATGTCCTTAAATCAATTCGTTATAGTACTCCATAAGTCTCACCTTCAGAGTCAGGTAGATAGCTAGAGAAAAAGAGATCATCATCATTCTGTACCTAAGATTCCGAGCCGAGCGGTCTCTATATGATATATCTACCACAGAGATCACCCAAGCACCCAAGTACCTGACCGACCACCATCTCCCGTCTCCCCAAGGTCACCCGTCACTACCAAAAGGAAAAGATACGCAACTGCCGGCACCAGCTTAAGGAAAATGAATGAGTGTGCGTGTACATGGACATAAGGAAACTCCTCTCGTAATAACCTGACTCACTCCTCATGCTTGATCACAAGTCCAGTCACAAATCTGTTCACGTTCTTTTGCACGACACGATCCCAGTTGAAGCCATAAAAGTTGAAAGTAGTCGGGTCTTGAATCCACCTCTTCTTGTTCTGATCAAGAAGATAGATCTCGGGCTGACCATCATTGGAAGTGATGAGGGCATGGTCTGCAGTGATTGCGCCTCCTCTGGCAACCGCATTGATGACGGTATCTGACAGCAGCTCAACACCATTGTAGTCGTCGCCGAATAGTCCTTGATACACGGCCGAACTTGTCAAAAGTCGAGCCTTTCCATCTAGGCATAGATAGATCTCGCCTTTGGACGACTTGATGCGCTTCCCTTCGAGTGGTACCATGTCAAAGAAGTCATGACCTGTTCCAAAATATGGGTAGAAATCCGTGGTTGCATCGAGAATACTCCCAATACCTCCACCAGCAGTGAAAGTTATATCCTCATCTCTCTTGTAGTAACCTTGATCCTCGTGAGAATCGGTGATTTTCTGTGTGTACCATCTGTGCGCGGTTGTTTTGTACACCGTAGGTGGTATTTTGCCGAGTCGATAGATTAAGGTTCCAATTGTTTTTCCATGAGGAGCGCAGGTGATACCCCTTGTCTCGGAAACTTCTATGCTAGTCGTTGCGCCCGTTGTACTTGTGACGCTATGCGAGTACTGGTAGGACAACTCCACACTGAAACTCATACTCACGGTGACAGGACCTTCTTTAGCTTCACTGCCTCCCGTGACAGTTACTTTGACACCGGTCACAAACGTGTCTGTGGTCGAAACGGTAAAAGTTTCCGACTCCGTCAGCCTGATGCTAAGCGATTCAGTCTGGGACTCGGGGCTAGAATTGGCCCAGTTGTGCTGTGAAGGCTGACTGAGTGCGTTGAACGGCACATTTTGAATTGTAACCGGGTCAATGATTTCCTTCACTGGAAACAGGGCGCTCCATTTGAATGCGCTGACAACATCACAGAAACGGTTATCGCGGAGGTCGCTAATCTCCTTGCTGTTGCCCCAGCCCTTGACCTCGTTGAAGGATGTGCCACTACCATCTGGATGTTCCCAGAATGTCACCGTTTGGCCGTCTTGCAAGGTTTTCCATTTGATCGAAGTCAAGTCGTCATTCATCCACATTCCGGCGAGCGAATGGATGACGTTCCCTTCCCACTCGCTCAGGAACAATGTGTGACGAAGGCCGGTGAAATTGAGTTCCGAATACATCTCGATGGCGCCAATTCGGAGATCGACCTCGCGCCAAAACCATGCGGCTAGCAAGTCATTCACACCACAGTTGAGTAGGTTGACAGTTTCAGTTTTGCCAGTTCCTACCAGATCAACAGATCTGCCGAGCCCTTGGAGATCACCTACACTCTTGCCGGATGCGAGCGGTTGGTATTGATCAGTCAGTGTCACCACCCGTCCGACAGGTAGATTCCAGGCGATCCAAGTGGCCTTGTCCACAAAGCTGCTGGGTAGATAACGACGATCTACGGGAGTCGTTTCATTCGTGTCGATAGTGCAAGACGCACTGCCCCATGAAGCGTCGACGTAAATACGACATTGGCCACTGGGAATGTTACCCGGGATGGTGCCGACTGATGGGAGGGGTGTCAGCTTCGTGACAATGTCGTTGACAACGGGCATGTTGAAGTGTACTTATAGAGAAGATGGGCTGGGAAATGGCTGAAGGCTTTTGTGTTCTGTGCTAAAGTACTGTCGCTCGAAGAGGGAGAGATGTGCTGTTCGTGAGGTGAGGAAGACCAGGACACAGCCCGTCTTATATAACCTTTGGCCGTTCACAAGAACGACGTCTTTGGGAAACTGTCTTCATCAGCTCCCTCGGTGGCTGAGTGCAATCACAGCTGAAGAAAACTGCTCTGATGAGCGGTCTTTCGCCCAAGTTGACCTATGAAGGACTCGAGGCTTTGAAATTCTCTGTCACCTAGCTAGTCTCATGTCGCTAGGAGAGAGAGAAAGCTAGGTCTGCATAGTGGCAGGAGACCAGCCCGGCTTGTTCCAACAATTCCTGTGATATTTTACAGCTCATGCCGTTGTCGTTCCACTCCTTTCTCAGTGGTCGGCCCATCAGAGGCCGTCGACCTCCCCCCAAATGCATGTTCTCTGCTTCAATTGTCCTGCGCATGCATGAGCGGTCTGTCTGTTGTGAGTTGATGTACGTACATGTCCTGGGTCAACAGACCCAACCACTGGCTTGAACGTACATATCTTGACGCGGCAGTGAGTCGAATGCTACTGTACATGCTCTAGACCATGTCTGCAACGCCGTACTCGGTTGTGCGACTGTTTCTCAGCTTGTTGTATCAAAATCAGAAATCAGAATACCTGGGACATAGGAGATTGCGGAGAGTGATTGGCTTCAACAGTGAAGATGCAGGACTATATCACTGATACTTTGACACACTTCTCACAACACCTACCGTGTATGGCGTAGTGTCCTATGTCTGCTTGATTTTGTACCCCGGAAATCATCCTTGCCATTCTGGGGTTCATGTCTAGCTCGTAGCTCAACCATTCGAAAGAGTCACCTTTCAGCTTGTTCGAGAGTAGCCCTGGCTTGTGAGGGCTGACAATGGCAATGAAGCAAGATAGAATGTCATCGACCGTGAGCTTCATTTGGAAACCCTGGGAAATACATTCGCGCTAGCTGAATCCTGCCAACGTCTTCACTCTGGATTCGACTACATCGTCTTGGCAGGAGTCGCGCCAGTTCTCGCCTACGCATACACTGCCTCATACCCTGCCTGGTATTGGTTCGGTATAGATAGATGCCTGATCTTACCTACACATACTCCGTACACACAGGGGGAACTGCATGCCGCATCCAGAAGGTCGAAGCGGGAAGCCACATGGAATACTCATTGCTACAGCATGATCTACCTTGCATGAGCTCTTGACTTCTCCTCGGCGCACAAAATTCTTGGTGTAATAGATCCAAGTATCAGATGCGGCCTGATGAACTCCTGATACCAGGATTAACTGTTGTTCATGCTCATGAATATTTTTCAATGTATCCTGTCGCCGCGATCTTCTTTGTTCGTCACTAGCACTGATCGACACCTGGGCCAAAGAGATGTCTAATGTCATTCATTTCAGATGGTGATATCAGTACGAAAAATGTTCTTGCCATGCTTTATCATTTCCGTCGAGCTCAGATTTCTGCCCTTCAGCCGGACGCTTCCACAAGCGGATTAGTTCCAGTCATCTTGCAAAGAGATCAACGAGGCCAGCCGCCACTCGACGCGAAAGCCTACCTTTGGACTGATTCTCCTTAGTCATGTATGGATGCTCTAGGCAGGGGACTATACATTACTAGCCCTGGTGACAGCATTCAGAGGGTCAACGTGTGGAGGCTACTATGTCTTCTACCATCAATGGACGATAACCTACATTTTGACAGCCGCCCATTCACTCCATAGCCGCCGGCTGGGAATATAGCTATTAGGGATTGTGCTCTACGTAAAGCTCTGTGCCGTACATGCGAAAGACGCGGCCTAGAATATCATTACTGGGCCTAGGAACTTCACGACGGCATTATACTTAGAGACTGAGGTTTAGATAGGCTTTTCAGCCCTCTTCAAAGAGGCTTTATCGCTCTTATGTCTATAGATACTAGGTACTATCAGTAAAGTTCTTCCTAGATAGCAACATAGCTATGTATAATTCAAGCATACTTCTTCCTATGTAGAAACCCCTATGGACAGTTTGATGATATGGTCTCCCTATGTAGAAAGATGTCTATCAATACTTTCCTCATGATCCTCCCCTAACAGAACTATCTATAGGTACCTTTCATTTTGCGTTCTTCCTAGATAGAAACATACCTATATATGCTTCGATCTTAATTCTCCCCTGATATAACTATTGATAGATGCCTTTGCGATGTTGTCTTCTCAGGCAGAAACATATCTATATAGGTTTGCATTAGTATCCTTCCTAGATAGAAATATGATCATAGGTGCTTCAAACGAATGTCTTCCTGCTATGGAACCCTCTACAGATGCTTTCATCACATAATTTTCCCAGATAGAAACATATTCATAGACGCTTTCTTTATACCTCTACCCTAGAAGAAACATCTCTATCGATGCTTTAAGCCAAAGTTCTCCCTTAATCCAAATACCCATTCATGCTTTTAGTATACGGTCGTCAAGGTTTAAACACCCGTTACTGCTTTCACATCCAAGGTACTTGTCGGGCGGATCAAGTTCTACTCGCTCTCCCTTGGAATGGCCTTCCTCAACCAAATAGCCCAAGGTTTATTGCCCTTCGTGGGTGTTCTTTACATATCCAAGCTTCATTTGGTTTGGGTGTTAGTCCGTCATGATCAAGACAAGTGTAACCCACGTGCCCTTACAGGAGTGCTTCACAAAGAAAATCAGTTTATACCTTCTCATTGTAGTCGACCCTTCAAGCAAGATGGCTCTTTATTCTTTCACTACACTGGCTCTTCATAGACAAACCATGTCTAGTCATCCTCGCTGTACTCGTGCTCCTCTACAAGCCATCTATACTAGCTTTTGCTGTCCGAGGCCCTCACAGACAAGATGGTTCTACACCCTTTCACGAAGCGGGTTCTGCATGAACAAACCATATCTTGCTGTTCTCCCTGTGTACGTGTTCCCTTACATACCATCTATGGCGATTCTCCGTATCATGGCCCTTCACAAACAATATGATGCTGTATACTTCTCTTTTGGTAGGGTCTGGTAGGCAAAATATCTCTGAATGCTTGCAATTTGCTTACTCTGGGCTCACAATATGTCCTCAGGAGTTTGACCTTCCTGTGCTTCGCAAATACAGCAATCTCCCATAGTTTAGTCTACTGATACTTCACGAAAGCAAGCATTCCTTGATCATTGACCTTGCTGTCGCCCCAAAAGCAAACAGCTTTGATTGCTCTCGCTTCCGCGGTGGCTTCTCTGGTGAAGCAGCACACATCCTCCGGCCTTCACGACATTACCTTGACGTGGTGTCATTCTTACCTTAATGCTATATCATTCTTACCCCTGAGGCCGTGTTTTTCTCGCACTGACGCAGTATCTTTCTTACCCCGACGCAGCGTCTTTCTTACCCCAGCCACGACATCGTTTCCTTGATGATTTCCTCACTTGTTATTCACAGGTCTGGCACAATAGAAGGCTCGGCATTGTAGGTTGTAGATCACACGTACACATAATTTTTTTCCTGTAGAGCAAAACAATACCAAATTCTTCATTCTCTTTGAGCACTTCTTAAGAGCTTTATTCCTCTCTTTACTCCTTATTACCCAAGCCTCGCCGATTAGACACCTGTGAGCATACCCTCAAGAGTATTAACAGTGAAATCAATTGAGATTGTTCTCCTTACAGCCCAAATCCTCCTCGAAAACCCCTACCGAACTTCCTCCTCGAAACCTACCTCTCCTACACCATTTCATACCACTCTCGGTCATCATGAGCCCCTCAAGCAATAATGACCCTGAAGATGACAACCCAGAAGATCACACCGATGAGGAAGAGCAAGCTGAGTCAGACTCAGAGACTGAATACCGACAATGCAAGCACGAACCTAATGGAGCCATCTCTAAGATCTCCATTCGTGTTCCCACAGACCCTAAGAGTAAAACCGCTGATACTGAAGGTATTGTTGACGATCTACATGGCACATCTAATGGTACCTCAAAGCTTGAGAGCATTAGGGCCGTAAGAACCACTGTAGATCCACAATCAGAGTGGTTGGCCTGGGCCATCGATATGGCAGATGACCTGTTTAAAGAGATGGAAAAAGCACTGAATTGTGCTCCGTCTCAAGACGTCTACAATACCCTAAAATTACCAGAAGAACCAAAGGGTAAGAAACGCCCTCAAGGAACCACTAGAAGCCCTGCCCTGGACTTGAATCAGCCCCCTATGTCGGATATAGACACCATCTTCGACGATCTGGCTACACGAGCCGCAGAAATGGGTCTAGGGGAAGCTCTCAATCTATTTGGCAATAGAAAGATTCGCGTCTTTACAATGTGCTCAGGGGCAGAGAGCCCTATTATAGCATTGGAACTCCTACAGCAATCTCTTCGCAATGCTGTGCCTGGGCAGTCTATCAACCTACAATTCGACCACGTCGGTAGCGTGGAGATTGAACCATTCAAGCAAGCATTCATTGAGCGCAATTACTCGCCTCCTCTCCTTTTTCGAGATGTTACAGAGTTCTCTGAGCATGAGAAGTATCCAAATGACCCGAATAAGGTCCCTCTTACTGCCTATGGAAGTCGCCATCCACCACCTAGAGACGTCGACCTCCTTATTGCCGGTACATCGTGCGTTGACCACTCAAACTTGAACAACAGACCCCAAACTCAGGGGGAATCTCACTACACCCTCGAAGGGGTTGGTTCATACGCCAAATTATACCGTCCACGGGTGGTTTTGCTCGAAAATGTCATTCAGAAGAAGTCACAGTCAGGTTTGAAGGCATTTTGGGCCAATATCGACTACGAATGCCATACTGTCCTATTGGACTCCAAGAGCTTCTACATTCCCCAAACCCGGGAGCGAAGCTACTCTATTTGCGTCGATAAGAGAATCCTTCCAAGCCAGGACAGTCTAATCCCAATTGGAAAGGCATGGGCCGAGCTAATGAAAGAT